CGACGCGCAGATTGCGAGCGACGAATGGAGAATGGCGCCGTAGATCGGTACTTACAATTCTGTCCGGAGCCGCTGGAATTTTGCGTATGCCTGAGGATGCTTGCGGTATCAAGAGACAAACGTCAGGTTTATGAGTATTGAACAATAGCCGTCAACGGCGGCTTCGCGGCACTGAAGAGGCTCACCAAGATGCCTAGGTGATGTCATGTTCCCTTCAATGCTACGCGGACAGCAGCAGCCGCGCCACAGACTAAGACAATTCAAGGGTCGGGCACTGCTGCACGATGACGATCATGTCCGGAAGGTGTTGAACGGCCTATCATGACTTGCTTGTACCTCCATCCATTGCGCCGTTGGGTAGCCCCGTCGCGTCGATTGTCCTAGCAGCTGTCATGCGCGGACTTGCGGAACACGTAGGCGAGCACAAGAGCATCTTCGTCGTTGCCAACTTCTTCATCTTGAGAGTTTTAGTTTCGATAGAGCGTCTCGGTGACTCTTCAGCTGCATCGTCCGTCGCCACATCCATTGCCGCTGGCCAAACACGTGGAGACTCTATGTGGGGAGGAAATCAGCCGAACGTGCCGACCCAATTCTGATTTGCATTCATCCTTCCGCAGATCAGTGCAGCAAGGCGGCGATGCCGACATCCTTCCTCGACTTTGCTGCAACTTGCTCCTGGGACCTAATTCAATTTTATCAGGGGTCCTTTCGTGCCCGATCCTCTGAGACTAAGCCCGGTAGTATCTCTAGCCGACCACGGAATACTCCAGGTCACGTTGAACAATCAACCAAGGAACATCTCGGGTTGTCGTCATCGCCTGCTTCACCAGCGTCGCTTGAGAGGTAAGGAGAGAAACTAAACATCTCTTTAGGGCAGAGTACTGCTTCCTACTACAACGAAGTGTATTAGAGCTATACAGACATAGATAGAGGATCTAGAAGTCTACAATGCTATTGGTTCTTATAAGCTCGATTCTTAGGAGCTAATGTAAGCCGTAAGGTAGAGCTTGCTATCTCTATACCTGTTCGGTTCCTCTCTTGTATGGGGTGAGTAATTGCTGTTTTTCCACCTGCCCGACAATCTTGACTATTCAGATCGATCGAAGGCCACAATTCAGAAGCTGGAGTGCTGTCACCCAGCATCGCCACCGAAAAGCGGAGAGTGATGAATCTGGTCGCTGTTTCCTAGGGTGCCGCTCAGAAGGCTACATGGGCTTCTACGATTGTTGCCAAAGCAGTAGTTCAGTATTGTAGGCGGCAAACCCCAATCTTCGTCGGTCGCTTCTACAGCAAAACGACCACCACTGCCAGCAGAACGCATCAAGAGCTTGGTCAAAAGAGTACTACCAGAGCTTGCAGCATCACGAGATCCAATGACAGCCAAGTTCCAAGATGCCGTACTCAGCCATGTATCGCAATCGCTGCCCTTTAAGATACCAGTTCTCCAGAGACATACCTCCACATGGCCATCGATAAATCGCGTTATGGACGAGCTCTGGTCCCAAGCAGTCGTTGGCGAGAGAGCGTTAGACATCAAAGAGTCAGACATCCCGTCGTCACTCAACATACCTCCTTAAGATGAGGAAGCAATAAGTACCCCTGGACTACTGGTTCACAAGTGGAGAAGTAGAACAAAACACCGCGAAAATAGACAAGCTTGCTTGAAGCCTTTGACGTCTACCAATCTCCTGTCCATCCGAATATTATTGTGCCTTATCACTGGATATAATGTGTAGATGATTCCGTAAAGTCTCGCAAGCCATTTTATCTGGACCGTTTCTCCCGCAACTGGCACGGCGCAACGGCCAAGTCAGAATCCGCCTTTTCCAGGCACGTATTATGTGGAACTATGCATCGCAGCTACGGGTCGACGATGAGTGGGATTTCGTAAGGTCAGCTGTCTGGGTAAACATTAAGGTCTGATGTAGTAAGATGTAATACAATATTATGTACACACATCACATGCGCTTTTGAGGATTTTTAATTATTGCCTGGTAGTCAAGCAGTCCGACGATGATGGGTGGTCTTGTATATCCGGGCTGCAGTAGTAGGAAAACGATTATGCTCCTTCTGGAAGTGTTACATGTATCACCGACTTCTGCTTCTTCGCGGCGGGGTAAAGCGAAAACATCTCAGCCCTAGGTCAGGAGGTATCCTTGGAACATGGGCTGGCAGGGCGACCTTGGGAGTATAGGAGCTACGTCGCGACTTAAATCTTGACAGGATGCGAAGTCACGAGTAGAAATCGTATGATAGGACTATGGCGCAACGAGGCCAGGTTTAATTATAGTCGAGTCAGGTTGAGTCGCGTGGCTGAGCGGCGTGGCGGTTGCGAAAGTACTGTACCTAGTAGCAAAGGGTGCGCATTGTCGGGATAGTAGCCCATAATACTTTGTACATGTGCGTAGGATAGTAGCGAATATGAAGTTTTACATTGAGTAAGCTGTGATGATGACTTTGATTGACGCAGAAAGAATCCAAAGTTCCAAGGTTGGGTTCCAAGGTTAGGCTAGGACATTCGACCAGGCACAGGAGATTTTTCGAAGGCCGGGGGCTGACCACTTTTTCCAGCGCGATTTAAATGTCAGCAGACTGTATTTTGGTATAGTTAGGAGATGAGGCGCATCAATGTCTTGGAGTATGAGAGCAATACGACGTCTGATGTGTGATGTTAGATGTTGAGGAGATATCGAGGTTGCGCGCTTGGTAGGTATGTTGAGTGGGGCCTTTGGGCCTTCACCCCATTGTATTTCTCCAACACCCCAACATGAGAAGTAACTTTTGGTGTAACATATACACAGAATTTGAAGGTGATTTAGATGCAACAACTTTGGAGGTGTCTAAAGATCAGTTCTGACGCTCAGGAGGTCACTGTTCCGCCACGCCACCAAAAATCGACCAAAACCTCCCAAAGAGCTTCACCAACCTATACAGACCACTCCGAGTACCCCAGGACATCAAAAAGAACTGCGACGTGGGCAGGATTCTACTTCTTGAGCTGCATAGCAGTCGCTGCCTCCATGAACTTACCCCAGTGGCCGAGATTTAGAGTCTTTCGATGGGCTACGCGCTGTAAGATGGCGGTATCCCAGTCATTTGCGTGACGCTTTGCGTTACTCTGCGGTCCAGAAGTGAGAATCCAACGAGTAAGCTCGTGGAAGGTAAGTGTTGGAGAAGAGGAATGGCCGTCGTTTGGATCGTAGAAGAATTTCTTTGAGCCATGGCCATTTTCTTCTGCGAGATATTGTCCATACTGCCAAAGGACGTTACCCAAGTGGCTATCCTGATTTGGAAAAGCCCCAAGCACTATAGAACGTTGAATCGAGACGGCGGCCCAGATGAACTGTTCAGTGTCGCCATAGCCGAACCTGGAGGCTTGTTGGTCCCAGTTGCAACTGCGATGGTTAGTCATGTATATTACATGGGTGTCTGTGCCTGAACATACCCTTTCCAAAGACTGTCAAAAACATTCTTCGTAGCGTCGACCGGTACCATTAGAAACCAAATGTTGGTTTTGTCATTGATCGGAAGACATCCAAGGACGATTGGCGGAAACTCTTCTTGAATCCCGGTGCTGTATCGTGCACGAACTGCGGGTCGGTCTTGGGGTTTGGGGCTTGCGTGAGCTGTGAAGTTTTTGCGGTCCTTGCGAAACTCAGGGCTGACAATGACCAGTCCTCTGCCGAAGTGACGAGCCCAGCAAGACGCCATGTGTTCATCCTGGTAAACAGCCAGCCTCTGGCGATCGCACGGGTGATAGAGGTCTAGGGAGTCGGACTCCATTTTCTTGACTGCAGAGGTGAAGATACGAAGTCAGTATGTGTTTCATATGTGTCTCGCAGAGTCACAACTTACCTGCATTCTGGTTGTTTTTGTTCTGAAAGTCCTTTTGTTCAACTTCCACGCCCGAGATCTGCAAGGCGCTGATCAAAAGGTTCATCATGTTGTTATCGCCCCTCCACCACTGCCACTCACTAGGCTTGTAGACAATTGGCGGGTGAGCGACACCAGGAAAGTCGGCTTTGCAGCCCTTCTCTTCTCCGGCATATGCCAGTACTTTACGCCACTCTGTCCTTCCTTCAGGAGAGAGAGGATGACGACTGAAGCTCATCAGCTTCTCGCCGACCCCGATCTCGTAATGGAAGCTGCTTTTGACCTTATCTGGGACAAGTCGAATCCCTTGAGGTAGCGGTCCATGCTGTTCGACGTCCTTGATGTACTTGGCGGCCCATGGAGGGGCATTCCAGGAAAGCGGGCTGGACATGGTAGGCGGAAGTGGTGATGGTAGGTGATAATGGCAGGTAGATGATGATGGTAGGTGGCCAGGGGTAAAAGTGTATTGTTGCTTGAAGGGCAGTCGCTGTGTTGGTGAATCGTTGCAGTGTTCGAGAAGCAGAGTAATCGTGATGACAGCGGTTTTATATTGGCAAAGGTGGAATCAAAAGCCTCAGGAGAGGATGATGCACGTGTTTCGCTTTGTAGAGATGACTACCTAGATACATTACCACTCACCGCGCCCCCGCTCACCGTTTGTTATCACGGTCGAGCTTGCCACGAGGCGTGAATCTAGATCATTACGTACCGATATCGGGCAAACAGATGATTGCAAAGATACAAGTCACTATCACCTAATTTTTACTCATATTAGCAAGTGACTGTGGGTCATTGCTATTATTCGTTTGCCAGGTGATGTGATATTCGTAAGTCGTAGCTGGGTATTCCCGTCGTGACCTACACAGACAGGCGACACATGATCGGTGCGTTATCGTCAGGTCTTTACTGTTGTGCGTTTGTCAGTCGAAAACTGACGCACTTGAGGTAAAGGCAAACAATATACTTCTGTCATGGATGCCTAGGTATCTAGGTATATAGAGCCCACCTGCACCCTCTCGACAACTGCACCCTCTTGATCAACACCGCGACCTGCTCCAGTCTTCTGAGGCTTCATCGACTTCACGTCCCCGATACGAATTGCCGACACTCCTCATTGTACAGGCAACATGGTTTATTTCACTCAAGATAGCGTCCCCGCAGCTCGCGCAGCCCTCTCAGTCTCGGAAGCTGGCTTTTGGCACGACATCCGAGATGGGCGCCCGATATCACAATTGAAACGGCCGACATTCGGCTTTCGGGTGAAGCAGTACTTCAAGTCCAAATCTCCGCTGCAGAGCGAGTTCCTGCCCGGTATGCAGGGCAGAGTTCTCCACCGTAAGAACCTCAACGTACAACCTGCTGGTAAATATGCGCTGACTTGGTATGCCAACATCTTAGGTCAAGGCCCTCTCGTAAGCGTGGAGGTAGACGACCTTTGGGACGCTGAAGGTAACCAGCTCAGGGACTACCTCCATGAAGATTTGATCGAGATCGGCACTGAGCTCTACGGCAACTGGAAGATAGATGTCTGCAACATTCCGCGGACGCAATCAAATTTCACCGATAAAGAACAAGAACTCTTCGACAACCCCAACTACCAGTATCTTGCGCGCGGCATTAGCACGTTTCTGAGAAAGCTAGCAGCGACAAAACCAGATTGTATGCCTCAAGATAATTACGATAGGCTTGGTGGCGCATCAGGCAACAAGGTTCCATGGATCACTTTAAAGGTTCTTAACGGTGTTGAGAAGGCAGGCCTCCTCAGCGTATTGAACAACCCTGAATTTACCATCAAAGATATTCGGGCAAATGCCAATCTGGATTGTCAGACTCTCGCCGCTAAGGACGAACCCGGCTTCTATCTTCGTGTCTACACCAAGCCCATTCCCGGTCAGTCGAAAGGCCACGGCTCCTTTTACGTTGGTCAAGCAAAGGATCTCCATAACCGCTTTCTTGGTTGGAGTCGGCCAGGTCAAGCACATGAAGACCTGATTCAGGACCCAACAGTCTCCAAGGAGATGCTCGCCATATGTCGGGTAGATATGGCATTTTACCAGGATCACAAGTACATCGTCGAGCAGCTCTTCACCTCTCTCTTCCAGACCTACAAGCAAGCTATTCTTGGTCGGACCGTGAACAGCGGTGATGTTCAAACCAATTATAGTATAAAAAACTGCGCTGATCTAGACAAGATCGCTACAGCATCTGCGAACGACAGTGGTTGGGCTGGTGCAGTTCGACGGATAAGCTTCTGGCAGGACTCTTTTTCCACATGCGAAGGCCTCAACTACCAGAGTCCTATTGGAGAAGCGCCACCATTCGAGCCCATCGGCTGGCTCCAAAACCACAAGTACGTACCAGACCCAGACAACCCAGGGAAAGGGAAATCGATCCTGATCTCGAATTTCACACGCGAGAAACCAAAGAAGATGCAAATCCAGGTTCCAGGGACAAAATCAGCTTCAAAGAGTCTTTCCTTCATCGTCTGGGATCTGCATTCCGAGAACAAAAACTACGCCTTACGGATGAGTCGAACACTACCGAAGAACTTCTCGTCTGACGGCGTAGAATGGCCAGCTGAGAATACTTTCTACAACATTACATTTGAGGTTCGTCTTGATTGGAAGCCGCATCCGTACTCATGGGCTCGCCTACCGCTCATCGGACCATTCAAGGATTGGGATCGGGCTAACAGCTGGGCCATTGTTATTGAATGGGTCGACAAGTCTGGCCAAAATCGGCAGAGATACCTCCATTGCGAACGCCCTTACATGACCTTGGCCGAAGACTCCGATGCGGCCATCCAGCCATATGCGAGAGGTATCGAGGTAAGCGATCCGGATCGCATAATCATATGCTGGCTAACTTCCATATCACAGGTCATTCACTGGCTGTTCAATGAGAGGATCCCTAGCGGTCAACAATATGAATGGCTTCAGGTCCCTCCTATGGCTGCTATCAAAGTAATCAAGCACGACACTGTCCGTCAGATGATCACTTTCGAAGCTGGCAAAGCTGTCACTGCCACTGCGCCCATACCCTGCTCACGCAGAGCTCCAGATCGTATCAAAGCGGATATGGAGGGACTTGGAGAACATGGAGACTTTAAACTCCAAAATGTAGGCCTTACTCTAGACCAAGCCAGGAAAGCTACTCCGGGAAAGTGGGGTTCGAGAACTAAATGCGACTGTTGCATGTTCTTTGCTCGTAGTGCAGGCCCTGGCCCCTGTACTGTCGAGGACGGTAACATAGTCTGCGAGAGTTGCCTCAAGATCTTTGGACGTCCATTCTGCTCGTGGACTCTTGGGATTCCTTCCGTGAGTAGAAGGGCAACAGATCTCGGAAACTCGTTTGGAGAGCTCGCGGCTCAAGGAGATACAGTGAACGCGCTCCGGCGTACTGCCCTTCATGGGCTCGAAGGCTCGAGAGACGAGGCTATGTTGGCCGGGGATGCGCAGATAATTTCTGTTGTTCAGGATGAAGAGGATGAGTTGGATGCTGTCAAGGGCAAAGTACATGAGGTCTAAGGTTCGAAGAGTGTGGAGGGCCTTAAGGCGCACATGAGGGGTTCTACGAGTATGCCCACAGAACCTGACGATGTGTAAGGCTTCAATGAGAACTCTCAGCATCAGGCAAAACTAGGAAAGAAACAGCTTCTTCGTCTATAGTGTAGACATACTAGTCTAATTTAATGCCGTCTTTGCTGTAACCACTCCTCTCATCCGTTCACCTCCACCTGTCTCAACATCCAGCTTGACCTCACACCGTGCTCACTCACAATTGCCTGCCGAAATGTATCTCGCTGTTCTGAGGTGTGGTGAAGATCGGCTTTGTTACTTGTTGATGTGCCTATGCCTTCAATGATGTGCTTGTTCTCTTTGTGTTGTGCGCGTGTATTCAGTTCAGCTTTTTCAAGTGATACCCGTTAACCACTCCGGCACAACACCATAGTATGTAATGATTGAGGGGAGATTGCTAACATATGGGTATTGTACGTGCGTCGTTTGCGTACATTACAGAAGTCGTGTGTAGCTCACTGTAAGTTGCCCGTCAGCTTCTCTGCATTCATAGTTGTGTTTTCTTCAGCGGAACTTATTCTGCTCTACACCTCTTAGAATCCATGTAACGTACCGGTAATGGGATATAAAGATTTCGGGATGGCATACCAGCCACAACTCTAGACGCTCGTGAAAGGTGTGTCCAATGCAGAAACCCAGGTCCGTGGAACCCTGATAAAGTCCAGCAGCCCCCCTTCCGTTCGATATATCTCTCCTATTGCACAAGTCTCGATGTACCGAAGCCAAGATACGGTGGTGGGCAGTCGTTGGGTAGAACTGTCGAGTGTTCTTGGCCCTAGTGCTGTTCTTCGTGGAACGATCGATGAGCAGTGATCGGGCGCCATTGTTGAATGATCTCCGTGTGGGTACTGTTCTCGAATAGATGGCAAACATAATGCCGTCCTCAAACTAAGATCGTGTCAGCGTAAGTCTTGAAGAGGCAGAGAGCGATACTTACTGCTCATACGATTCGCCATTGTATTAGCAGTGGCCTTGAACGCTCATGGAAGTCGTGTCCAGCGCAAAAGATTCGACGCGCAGAGTCCTGATAAAGTCCAGCAGCCCCCAACGGGAGCTCCAATGCCAAAAAAATGCACCAAAAATGCATGTACCAAAAATAAATATATTCACTCCGGCGGCTCGTTCTCCTTGTCCTTCTTCTTCTTCTTCTTCTTCTTCTGCTTCTTCTCCTCCTTCTCCTCCTCCTTGGCAGCCTGTAATCCGAAGACATGAAGTTAGTATAAGTCTCACATGCATTCGCTCACCCAAGACTCACCTTCTTCTTCTTCTTGGGTGGGGCATCATCCCCCTTGGCCTTTCTTTTCGGCTTGACCACCTCCGCTTCGGCCTCGCTCGCTCCCTCCCCAAGAACTGTGACTTTCTTTTCGTTCTTTGGCGGAGGCGTGAGAGGCAGGGTGGGCGAGGACGACCGAAGCGGAGGGGTGCGCGGACGCGTGACCACCCAATCGTCTGGGTCGTATTCGGGCAGGGGAGGAGGAGTTTCCTCCTCCTCCTCCTGCCCCAGAGGTTGGCGTTGGAGAGGGTAGCGGTTTCCCGCAAAGCTGGCGCTGATATAGAACCTACACGCGTATTAGCTTCACTATACTTACACATAACACTCCAAAAGAACATCAACGGGCGGAAACTCACTTCATCGTGTGTTAGTTGAAGATGAAGTGAGCTTCCGCCCGAAAGTTTGTTGAGGGGCGAGGCGTGCCAAGCGCTCTGTTGTTGCTCGAGGTTGGAAAGAGCTCCCAGATGGAAAGAGCACCCTCGCAACCTTGGCAGGTATCTCCGTATGTCAACAGCAGTGAGGTGAGAGATCAATTGATCGTTGTCAGACGACTCTGACGAATGGGATCATCGTCCTCCGCTTTCCTTTAGTGATGCCAGGTGGCAGCATTCAAGCCTCTAGGGTTGTAGTAGTAGAACCAGACTCAATCCTGACTCGAGTATGTACAACACGGATTGTTTGGCAGACAATATACTTTCTGCTCGAGCCATTACATGGTGCGTTCACCTGTACATCGAGATTCTAGTCAGCTGGTTCGAAGAAGGCATCGAGAGCTGTTTAAACTTAAAAGTCAATCAGTTTAAGGTGACTCCAGGGTTTGGTACGAACAACCATGGAGGATGAGACATCCGAGGTTTGCTTGCGTAGTGCAGCGATCAGTGACAGGTGAGCGCACAGAAGATGATGTAGAATCGAAAAGGTAGAGTGCAATAAAAGTATCACGAAACTTGATGTATTGTAAAGACACGTATCGTACGATGATACTACAAGGTGTTAGTAGGGCTTAATCACATACGACCTTAGTGAGAATAGTTACCTGGGTATCGACAGCGGCATCGTCGCGACAAATGTATGGGTTGTGAACAGATGTATCTAAGTATACACGCCTAAAAATGCTTAGTATTTGATACTTGGTACAAATCAAAAGCGATGCGAGGAAGCTATTACTAGCTCACGATAAATCCTGTGAGTGGTGATTCTACACAAGTTCGGCGAGGGTCGGCTTATGACCCACCCTGCAAGAATTTGCTACGCGAATTCTCAACAGCCATCACTGCGATCTTGGTTATATACCAGCAAAATTGCTGTTTTTCCATCAATCCAGTATCAGTCGGAGTGCCGGAGTGGTTAACGGGTATGACTCGAACGATTTATCTATTAGATATCATATGCTTTCGGGCGCGCAGGGTAAGCATCATTCATCAACACTAATCATGACTCAACTAACAAACAACCAGTTCGAGTCCTGTCTCCGACGTCTTTTTTTTTTGCCTCTGATAACGTCGATGGTGGGCCGGAACGCCGCCTATACCTGTTGCCTGCTTTGCAAAAAATCTTCCGACATCGTCTTTTTTGCATTTATCTTTTTGCTCTCTTAAAAGTCTTTAGAGTAGTCTATACTCTAGAACACGAACGAGCATCGCTTCTTAGTTCACTAGCAAAGATATAGTTGACGCTTAAGAAAAGGCATACGGTAGCTCATCCACCAGCACAGGCGCCTGCACACAACCACAACCACAGCCACAATACACAACACCATCGCACAACGTCGTTCCCCCAGGACGATACAAATTGGGCATTACTATCCTGAAACTCTCAACATTTCCTAACCGTGTATACGTAGAAAGTTACTTAGGTATGAAGATGCTCGCGAAACCCGCCCAAATGCCACCCGGGACGCTACATCAGGGCCTTAAGTCTCCATTGATCAACCAAGGTCCTAACGTTACCTCCAATCCCCCCCCCAGAGAACCAACCCCCCATTCTCGCACTTCCTAACATTGCAGCACCGCAGGGCCAGGAATCTTGTATGGCGTTCCGTTTCCCTTGGGCTGACCCTGAGCATTATAGATGCTGAGTTTGATCCCTGCATCATCCGCCTTGTAGGCACCAGGGAAGCTGACCGTATTTCCGGTCTTCGATCCCGATCCGGAGACGTTGATCTGCGCGCAGCCCATGTAGAACTGCGCACCACCAGTCGTGCTAGCGCTGTGCAATGCGATCATCTCAGCCCTGAGAAGATACTGACCGGGCGCAACACAAGATGGCATTGTCATCTCCGTCCATCCACCATTGTTTATCATTCTGTCGACACCTAATAGGCGCGTATACAAAGTCAGTGCATTTCTCACGTGTATTTTGTACAGAAGTGTCGCTTACCCCAGTTCCCCGAGCTGTCGAGGCCGTCTTCAGAGACTTTGAACCATTGGAGGCCAGAGGGGGAGGCAGAGGCAGCATTTGAGACCTTTGCCATATAGAAGATAGCCGGACCCTTGTGAGATTTGGCGATTGGGTGGTCGGGATCGTTTGCGAATCTTGGAGGAATTAGTAAAATGTTGGTGAGAAGATTAGGACGACAAGAACATACTGTGCTCCGCCGACAACATGACCCCAGTTAACACCAACCCTGTCTCCAGGCTTGACGTCAATGACCTTGCTGGAGGAAGAAGCACCAGAATTGCAAGCAATGTTACCATCATTGACGTTCGTGATGGGGTTGTTGGAAGGCGCAACGCGGATACCATTGCCTTGACCAAGGTCCTGTCCGTTAATCCTGACGCGCTGAGCAATTGTATGTGCTGACCCAAGTGCGGGCAACAGGGCGACAGCAACAGCGAAGAACTTCATATTGAGCGGAATACGGGCACCTGGGTAGTACAAAGGTAAGCAAGGAGTGTCAAGTTGCGGATGAGGCGCTGTCACTGGATGTCATGCCTCTTTCTTATATACTTCTTTCCACTCCCATGACCACACTTTACCTACCACCCGAATACAAGCATAATGACGCCCCTACCTCTATATCATCTACCTCAATCGCTGGGCTGCAATATGACCACGCCACATGCAAGCCATCGCTAGGTGTTCTCCAAGATTTCAGCATGCACCTCAGATGTCTTTTCTACGACGTTTGGGGCGGCTGCTGTCGGCAGTCCTGCATTTTAAGATGACACAGCCAATCATGGGACGCGTGTGTCGAGTTTTCTGGGCGCTCATATATGGCGTTTCGAAATAGATGGCTTTGTGCGATCAGTTGCCGGAAATCAGTACTTGGCAGTGGATATATGTGTGCGGCCGGTTAATATATATCGCGATGCAGGCCCGTGAACAGCAAAACCCATGACCAATCTTTCGAGACGAGACGTCCACCATGAACGGTCGTGTTGAGCTTTGGCGTGATCATCTCCCATGGAAGAGGAGAACCTGTTCAAACCATTCGGCGGGCCAGAAGATAGTTTGGTATGTTGTCTACGCCATTTGATGATACCTGCTTTGACTTGTACTCTACAGCACTTGATCTCTTCATACTCAACAGCGGACGAAGCAAGCACTGTGCTCCTGCATTCTTCTCAAACTAGCCTTCCGTTGACTGGGCATAGAGGATCATGACATCTCCTGCATTGACGTAACACCTTGACGTATCGACCGTAAGCAGATCCTAGGCGCTAACTCTAGTACTGGTGTGAGGGCTCAGGTACCGATAGATCTCCGCGTCTATTGGCATCCAGTCGCACGTGAACCTATCGCTCATTCTAAGGTGAAGGTTGCAATTGTTCTAGGAGGTACTGGTCCCGCAGTCTACACAACATACCTCCAGAAAAACGACGTGCCATTTACCCGCCTCTGGTACCATAGTACACAGCGATACCGTGATGTGCTCCCAGCTGGATGGATTGATCATACTACCGCGAGCAAGGATATGATCAAGAGGGTCACGTTCGGTGTCTGCCACCCTGGGAAGTTCTGCCAGGATAGAGGACAGCACATCACGAACGTTCAGCAAGTTATCGCAGTAAGAGAATGTCTCCTTGACTACGCGATCGCATTGTTATTCAATGACACGCACCTGCAGACTTTCCTTAGCTGCACTAGTTACTTCTTTAAGCTGGCACGAGGAGATATTGGCCGTTGGAGGAATTGCGGGTATGCGCGGCAACGATATTGGAGACTTCGGGTAGAAGACGAGAAGTTGGATCCAAAGGCCACTACTAGTAAAGCACTCGTAGACACTGGCGTCTTCCTTGGTGGTAAGGAATTTCTGAAGAAAGATAGCGATCGTTTTCAGCCCAGACTACTACATGAGCTTCCACGCGTGACGCTGAGGTTGTACCTTAGACTTGTAGGCGGTAATTTTGTGATAGGTCTTAGGACATGGAACTGGAGAAGTTGAAGTAATCGCGACAAAAAGAGCCTCGACATGCTCCATCGCAATGTGCCTATTGGACCTCGGGACGGGTGGGGCGGGAGATGCGCTAGTAGCGCCTGTGCTGATTGGTTTCATGCATGTCCGCCTCAACCCCAGAAATAACTCCCCAAGTCGCGCATCGTGAGCGCCGCTTTGACTGAAGCGTTGCGCCTGTGCTGCTGGTGAGCGCTTCCGAGGTTTAACCAACGTCGCAGTATGTAGAGCGCGAGCACATCGACTGTACCAAGCCTCGAATTGCCCGGCACCATGGACACGATAGCAGTTGCCCCAAAGGCGTCGGCGCTGGCGTCGCCCAAGATCGTCAAGAATGCAAAGGGCAATATTGTGCCGAGCAGCCAGATGGCACATATCGCATATGGATGTGGTGAGCATTTGGTCACGCGAACTCTCGACACGAGGTTACTGATTCCACGCAGAGCACATGGGCGAAATGTTCGAGAAGGCGCGCAAGCAGACACTCCAGCACTACCGGGCCATCCTCCAGAACATCCACGAGAAGCCAAGCATAATAGCGCAGACATACAATGCGCCAGCGGAGGCGCGCAACGTCGTGTCACTGAGACCGCTCTTTCTGTGTCTGCAGTGCCCGAGCATCATGACCGAGGCGGATCGGGATCTGCACTTTGAGACCAAGTCACACTGTTTCTGTGGGTTCAGCAGGACGCCGTATAGATGCAAAGGCTAACGAGAAGCAGCCGTGGAATCACGAGATGGCAACATCTACTGTGGAAACTGCCAGGACTTCATCTACGATGAGACTCTGGATGTCCTTAGAGTGCAGAAGGGTACGCATATGGCTTTGTTCTATCACAGGGGCCAGCGTTGGCTGACTGCATGCAGGCAAGAAGCGAAAGTACGAAGACACTACCACGACCGAAGACCACAAGCTCGTCATAAGCAACTCGACCTTTCTCCCCTGCCGAGCGATAGGCCTGCGCGGGCTCTACAATATGGGCCAGACGTGCTTCATGAGCGTCATCCTACAAACCCTCGTCCATAACCCCTTCATTCGAAACTTCTACCTCTCCGAAGGACACAAGCAGACAGAATGCGACAAGGAATCATGCGTCAGCTGTGCGCTGGACGAAATGTTTGTCGAGTTCCACTCAGCTGAGAAGACGGAGGGATTCGGGGCCGTGGGCATGCTCATGGGCAGCTGGCTAGCTGGAGAAGCCCTCGCAGGATACCAACAGCAAGACGCGCACGAGTACATGCAGTTTATACTCAACACGCTGCATCTGGCAAACGGCGGGTCGGCAGACGATTCGGAAGATTGCAAATGCGTGGTACACCAGACGTTTTGTGGGAAGCTGTCAAGTACCGTGACATGCGACAACTGCCGGAATGTTACCACGGCCCAAGATCCATACATGGACCTTAGTTTGGATGTCCGGATACAGGGCAAGAAGCGCAAGATGAATGTAGAGAAGGGTGAAGAGACCCCACTGGATCTGAGAGACTGTCTCGAACGCTTCACAGTCAAGGAGAAGCTGGGCTCGGCCGACTACACATGTCGGAATTGCGACAGCCCGCAAAATGCGACCAAGCAGCTGAGCATCAAGAGATTACCCCCCGTGCTCTCCATTCACCTCAAGGTACGCACCGAGTGTTTTTCTCCACATCTCCATACTAACGTCCACGCAGCGTTTCGAGCATACCAAATCCACGTCCTCTAAGATCGAAACTCCCGTTCGCTTTCCCGTCAAACTAGACATATACCCCTACACAACCGCCCACAAAGCCGCCATGCGCGCCGCGAAGACGTCCGGTGCACCACCTTCGAATCATAACGTCAACAGCCCAACAAACGCCCTCGTCTACGAGCTGAGCAGTGTGATTGTGCACAAGGGCAAGATTGACTCTGGACATTACGTCAGTTACAGCAGAGAGGGCAACGACTGGTTCATGTTCGATGATAGCAAGGTAGTGCTTGTCAGCGAGGCAGAAGTACTTGCTGCTGAGGCTTATTTGCTTTTCTACATGGTCGGTGGACTAGAGGTATAGGATTCGACCTGAGTGGAGTTTCAGGCGGTTTTGGTATTCACTATCTGCTCGAGCAGTCTTGCACCTACCAGCTGCATACCTGGCGTTCAAAGAGGTTTCATGGCGTTTTCGAGAGAAGATGAAGATTTCTCTCCACTCGAGGATACTTTAGCATATGTTGGCTCTCATGTTACCAATCCATTGATATATTCACACTCTCCCCCATGTCGATCTTCTTCAAGGCCTCGTTTCATGAAGCTCCTGCTAGCCTCGTTCAATGACTCTAACTTATCCTGAATGCATTGCTATGTGTAGTTCCCTTCTCCATCAGTCGCCTCTGGTCGCCTCTCTGAATCATGCTGTCATGATTCCTCCATCCGGGCAAGTTTGCCGTGTCGATTGCCGATGCGGATATACCCTTCCGCAAACGCGTCGTTTCAACGCATCGCCGTAGGGCAAGAAGCGGTCTGAGCGACACTTGTTTTCACGCAAATGTGGTTATCCGGTGGCTTTACAGTGCCCATCGTAATCTTTTCAGCTCCTGAATCCCTCCTTAAACAGTGGCTTGTGGAACATGGCACCCCACTCAGGCAATATATCTTCATCGTTCCATGATTCAGTTATTCGTGGACTACGTATATTAGGGTGTATCGCTTTTTTATTCTTGCAAGATTCCACCATTTCTTTATCAATTAAATGGCGATTTCGCCTTCGTCGAACCTGCAGAGACATTGCTCCTCGAACTTGAGTCTTCAAACATCGTTTCGATCTGCGTGTTCACCGTTATTCCTTTACCGCCCACGAACTGTTCTACGCCGTTTATCTGATCTGATGGTGGATCCGTGAATAACGAATCCTCTGACCCATTCGCTCGATTCCGGGTGTCGTGCGTCGAATGTAAACCACCAGTTATCTGGCTGGACGGATTGAGGCGGTTTCCGCTGGCTCTTCGTCGCGCAGACGAGAGCTCGTAGTGGCGACCGTAGCTGTTGGATGCGTCCTTGGAGGTATTGTTTGTACCGAGAATCATGGAGCGCAGGGCGGGAAGACAAGTAGCAATTATGGCAATCGCCGTCTCGATCATAGAGACGGTGCACGTCAGCATTGTCTCGTTCTTCTTGGAGTAATAGGCTCGAACGACTGGTGCAAGGTTAGCCGAGTTCCCGATCCATACTCAAATCTAGTGGGTACATACTGCTAGCGATGACGACGAAGAAACCCAAGGCGAAGATTGCGGCCACACCGATCTTCTGCTTGAGTTTCATTTGCAGTCGAGAAACCATGGTTATAGGCAGGCAAATAATGATCACATCTGTAATGATGTTGAAGAAGATGGTGATCCAGTAGTTGATCTCGGCGGCTTTGGGACTGCATTGATCTGCGCATGGTCAGAATCCACCGTATGCATGTACGACAGGGTTTGCTCACAGTTAGGATCAGTGGACCATCGCTTGTTGTGTGGAAAACACTGGAACATGATATCGAAGAAGATAACAAGGTACGTAACAGCCAATCCAGCCAGCGCGAGGTTATACACAAGGACCAGTCGTGAGCCCGGCGCGGCGAGATTCTTGTAGAACAAAACCAGGGCGAATTTGATAGCCCATAGCGATGAGACATAGAGTGTTGATCCGGGAATAATCATCTGCATTATTCCTTTGAAGTTCTCTGGTGTTACTGTTGACATGTCACCCAGTCCTAGGTTCCACATGTGCTGTTGGATGATGAGATCTCCAATCAGACATGTTAATGAGAGGAGGATGAGAAAATCATCTATTCCCAGATTGCCCAGCCTCTTCCATCGTGCATACATGCGCAGCGCAACGAAAGGGACCGCGGCGATCGTGCAAATGTACCATGAGATCTGCCAGCTACATCAGCGCCGCACGTAGCGAACGAAGGAAGGGGGAGCAAAGTAACCTACCACCTGCCCGAGCCCATTGTCGCCCATGCTGCTTTGCTTGTCCGGCCGTTACCGAGATAGAGCCGTAAGGAGTTCGAGCCTGCTCGCTCCACCTTGGTAAGAGTTCCAAGAGCAGAGTCTGTGGAGAGCTGCGAGGATTTGCAGAAGAATTGACAGCGGGTGTATCTTTATTTCTTCTCCACAGGCAAACCACCCCTAAAGTAACTTTACAGGATGTTGCGGGTTATGGTACTAGTATGCCGTCCCGTAGCGTTGTGGCATGATTGCATCAGGGGACTCCCCAAAGGCCCAACCGTGACTGGCAAGTCTAATTCAAAAGTCCTTCGGGCGCTAGAGTCGGCACCCAGTTCTGAGTTGCGAAACCCTTGGACGGCCACTACAATGTGGCGGCGTTTTCATGCGTTAGAGCAAGTTTAGCTAAGTTTTGGAAGAATTTGACTCGAGACGAGAGCACTACATGTATGGCATCGTGTCCGCCGACCGCGGCACTGGGAACCTGAACGCCTTCGCTCACATGTCAAAGGGACCGGCGAGTAATGGGATGGCAAACCAATTCTCGCAAGCTTCGGGGCCATGGGTGCGATGGCAGAATGCGATAGGTCTCAGATCTTAATCGGGCGTGCACGACAAGTTCCATGGTTCGGTCCGAAAGAGCAAGCATGCTTCCTGGCTTGCATGGCGATGAACGACAGGGAACAGTGGTCTGGAAGGCGACAAGTAGACACATGGCGAACAATGCCGAAGGTTCTACCTTGGAACCGGTGGCATTCTAGCGCTCTAGGTGTATCAACCGGCTTCTAGTATGGACGACTTGTGGAGACCGCGATTGGTACGACTCGCTTAGCTTGCCAAATTTGCGGTCCCTGATTATCGACGGACCTCGGGAACGCCTGAGACCTGCAGCGACGGAGATGAAAATACCCTTACAGATCCATCAGGCTCCACGCCGGACAATCCTCGGCAGTTGATGGTAACATGGTGTTACCGCGCAGTTGGCGGCCAGAATGGTTCCCATGAAATGGTAAGCACGCCGAAGTGGTGCCCTATATAGCCATGTGTAAGCCCAAACACGATCTGCAGCCTCCCGCCAAACTCTATCTCTTACCCACCATCGTGTCTCGCTGACTTGCGTCATGAAGGTTCCGACAACTCTTATTGGCTTACAGAGCCTCTCACTAGGCCTTTTCCTCGGTCAGGTGGCTAGCACTCCGCTGCCTCCGAAACCTTCAAGAGCAACTGTTACGGACGGCACCGCGACACTCGATCAAGGAACCGTAAAGGGTTTCACAGACGACTATGGAAACTCTGTTTTCCTAGGCATTCCGTTCGCGCAGACAACGGGTGGGGAAAACCGGTATGTGACAGTGGCGACCAAATGTCCTCCCTATTGCTGACCACCTGTATAGATGGAAAGCCCCTAAGGACGTCAGCAAGCTCAAGAAGGGCGAGGTGCTTGATGCGACAAAGTATGGTGCTACATGTCCACAGGCCATCACCGGCACAACATACTCTCAGCAGGATGAAGATTGCTTGAACCTCAACATCTGGGTGCCCTCTTCAAATGGTAAGTCGCCACGGGCGCCGACATTCCCTCAAAAGCCAAATGGACCTCATCCTCATCATCCACCAGGCCCTCCCGCAGGCCCTGCAGGCGGTCCCCCAGGTCCCCCGGGTCCACCAGCTTCTCCACCAGGCTTGGATACACCGGGTCTTCCGATTTTTGTGTATATGTACGGTGGGGCTATGGTCACTGGATCAAGTAGCAATCCTCAACTGGTTGGTGAGAACTTTGCTCGCAAAGGCGTCATCTTTGTTAGCTTCAACACTCGTGAGAGTCTTTGGGCCTACCCGAACTCCGCCGAGCTTGCAAACGGCGAAGAGTCGCAGAACTTTGGCATTCTCGATGTCGACAAGGCTTTGCAGTGGGTGCATGACAACATTGCTCAGTTCGGCGGCAACCCTGAGCACATCGTCTTTGGAGGTCACTCTTCCGGATCGGTTCAAGTAGATCATTATCTCTGGAATCACCCCGACACATTCCTTAAGGGTGCCGTTCAGATGGCCGCGAACGCAAAGTCTGGTCCGGCCGTAGGTCCCACCAATGAGGCGCTTGATCTCGTTGCCAAGGAGGTTGGCTGCCAGACTGGTGAAGGCCAGCTCGAGTGCCTGCGTAAAGTCGACATGTACGCCTTCCAAACTGAGGCCTTCAATGCCACTTTGAACACGTACTTCACACCTGTCGTGGACGAGAAGACGCGCTATCAAGACTACGCCTCACGTTTCGCTGCTGGCAACTATGCCTCGCACGTTCCCCTGCTCACGGGTAACTCTGACAAAGAAGGCGCTCTGTTTGGATTGGTTTATGGCGGCGAGAACACCGTCTTCTCGGAGTGGCTCAACACTTTTGACGCTGATGTAGCGGAAATTCCAAAGGACCTTATCGAAGCCGCGTACGACATCGCTGATTACTCCACTGTCTCCGAAATGAGCGGTGCGCAGTATGGTGACGCACGCTTCTTCTGCCCGGTCGACCACTTCATCGATGTGCGCAGTGAGGTTCAGGACACTTGGTCATACCGCTTCTTCGGCAACTACTCCAACCTTCTACCCTTGCCTGTGGCTTACCCAACGCACGGCGCTGAGATCTCATTCTTCTTCGGAGGTAATGGTGCTTTTGCTGGTATGGAGGGCGTGACTGCCGAACAGCAGGCACTTGCCGATTTCCAGAACGATTGGTTCGTCGAATTCATCAAGAACCCCGCCGCGGGTCCTGGCTGGGACAAGGCCACCCCTCGCAGCGGACCGATTGCGAAGCTCGGTGTGCCTGGCAACGAGCTTGCTGTAGAGATTGGTAACACGGCGGATTTCAACGCCAGGTGCCAAAGTGTTTACAACCCATTCCTTCCAAAGTATCCAGTCATCCAAAGCGTACTTTCCGGCGTAATGGACATGGTAGAGGGTGTCATCGGAAACTAGAAATAACGACCCAAAAGAATGTCAATCGAACGGCTATCATGATATCCCACTAGCTTCGATAGTTAATCATAATCTAATGCGACGATCAGTCTCCCCTTTCCTCCGGGATGTCTTTTCAACCATGAAAATCAACCAATCGCATCTCTTCTCCAAAAAGGAAACACGTGATCTGGCTGGAAAACTTGGCTCCCTGTGTTACAGATCCTTTTGGTCGATGAAACTCGCAGTGTCGCTGAGGCGCAGAGTATTTGGCTCAGCGTTGACGGGCATGACTTGAAGCAAGCTTTGGACACTCCATACTGATGGATTTGTTGGAACCGCATCAGCATATGGCGAGACATTAAAAAGTCCTGGGTAGAGTATACGAATCGTCTCCACCCACATTACGTTGCTTGAGCTTGGTCGGCGATGTGGCCTTGGCGATATTGGGTCCTAGTGATTGCGCAGCATGCGCTCTCGTACACCGCATCACTGTAAGGGATCCTCTCGAATTATAGTCGCATAACGAAGTTTGAGACTTCGAGCTTATGGGCTTACAATGGCAAGGCTGTAAAGGTGGGTTTCCCTTTTTCGGGAACTGACCGTCTTGGCGATGAACACCGTCCCGCTAAGAGGAAGAAAAGACGGAATAATTGCAGGCGAGACCCGTATTGTGGGTTCTACATCTCAAAAGGCATAAGTACAGTCGCATCTGCACAGCCGCCCAACCCAACCAAAAGCAATCGGTCAGCCCTTATTTGTGAAGTACGCCTCCGCAATGGTCGGTCGTATGGTCGAGGTATCGTCGCGTCGCAGGTACAACGACAAGCGTAGGCAGTCGCCGCGCGGAATTAGTTACTAACAACGTCTCTTCCCCACGAAGGACCCTGAACGCATTTGTGTCCCACCCACATTTCTCGCCGTCTGACCCGTCTGCCACGCTTAGGCCTCCAAATACTAACGGACCCGAGTTGCAGGCCTGTTTCGTAATTAGCCAGCCTTAAACGATTGGACCAATAGTCGCGATCCCTTGTTCGCATCCCGGCTTGGCCACATACGGGAGTAATTCATAACACCCCTTTCGCAGGGCTCAACGTGATGTGCCTAATGCGTCTGAGAACATTTGGAGATCAAGAGTAGGAACGCATAAAACATGGATATCTAGCAGCGGTAGCTACATCTCCAAAGTCGCTGCTTGCTTGTCACCAGGACCTTACTGTGGACAGGTAACAGGACGATCGATATTAGACACTCTCTTGGCATACGGAGGCCTAACGCTGTTATGCACCGGTTGAAGGAGGGTTGTATGCCATGTGGTGCGTGTGACAGGTGTACAGTACCGAGTACAGACTGCGCCTCTATATCCTACGATCGTGAAGGGGCCACCCCTCGGCTAGACGCACTCTGAGACTTATGCATCCACAGATTGCCTACCTTCTGTGGCTGATTTGCAGGCTTTCCTACCGTATTAGTCTGAACTTGGGCCTGCTGTCAGGTTCTAGCCCTGATATGAAGGAGAGGCAATTCTTCAGAGTGAAATCCTTCCAGGGCCTCTAGGCTCTGTAGGAGCTTCTACACTGGTCTCGTTAGATTATTTACAGCGACCAGCCTTGTTGTCCTGGTAGACACTACTCCACAACTTTTACGTTTGCGCAGCAACTCAGGTCCCGACGGCCCATTTGCGCTGACCCACACAGCACCCCCGTCGTCACACGCACTGTACGCCTTACCTTCAGCCTTCAGTGCTCTTTATAGACTCGCTTCCATGGCCTGCAGGCCGATCAGGCACCCGAGGAAGATTCTGATGGGAATCACAATCGACCCTGGGCTTCCTTCTCCATCACACTTTTTTTCATACCACAACCTGTCCAGGGTCGAGTCCATACCATCATGACCACACGCCATCGCCTCGGGCGCACCGATGAAGCAACAGAGTCTATTTTCCAGTACCAGGCCGTGTGCGAACGACTCCAAGACTACCGCCAGCTTGTCTGGCTTGCATGCGCCGCGACCTCGCTGCTGACCACAAGGCATCTGTTGATTGAAAACAATCTGCACTATCCCTTGGAACTGTTCATTTGCCAAATTGCGGCTACGGCAATTGTCGCTTCCTTTTTACATCCATGGAGATCGAACGTCCAGGAAGCCAGCGGGCAAGAACAACGTAGAAAGCGAACAGTTCAAGGCGCGTTCTTAATGGTCGCGTCAACCGGCTTGCAAGCAGTATCGGCATTCTGCACAGTACAGGCAGTCCTGCATACTTCGAATCTACCTCTCCTCTGCATGATCACAGTAAGTTGTCTTAAACCAAATCCAAGAATATGTTACGCTGACCATATCAGACCATAGCCTTCTTCGCCGAAAGTCTGGTACTCTACGTATTCAACTACAATTCTCGCTCAAATGCTGAAATCCTGTCTTTGAGTTTGCTTCTTCCAGCTTGTGCTGGGATATTGTTCATGGAGTACAGGCTGATGGTGCCAAGCTTGATCGCATCTATTTTGGCAATGCTCCTTGTCGGCACTGCTAGTGCACTGAGGAAACTGGTTGCTAAACACTACCCAGGAGACCGTGCTACTCGAAGTACGAATGCGGTTTGGTTGGTTGGTATGGGAAGCTTACTTGCGTTTGTCTGCGCTGTCGGCAATTGGCCTGGTGAGCAATGGGACACATTCAACGTCAGTAGCCTACCTCTCCGCACCCTAAATGCTTTATCGACCGCGGCGGCCTTTTTAGCTGGAGGCTCGATACTTTTTCCACTGGACATGCAGTCAGAGAGTCCACTACCTGGAAGCGGCCTTGCAGCAACACAACGCGTGCGCAGCGTAACGTCGATTTTAGCCATGATGGCAATCATAGGTTGCTCAACGGTCCTCTCGTTACGTCGCTCATACACCAGTTGGCAACAACTATCCTGCTTCCTCTTCGCAATCCTATGTGTCTGTAGTAAAGATGTCTATGACACAGTTTGGAAGCAGGCTGTTCGCCGAAAAGATCCTCGCGGAAGCTACGACCTTGTTTCGCGTTCACCCAGAGCAGAACCAGATGATGAGGAAGAATGCGGAACGAAATCACAACGCGCTCCACGAACAGGATCGCAAAGCAACAGTCTTCGTTCACCCTTGATCAGTCTAGCCCTGGTCATGCTGTGGACAGCATTTATAAGTTTCAACTTTGGACAACGACAATTTCCCCGAGTGGAGCCGCATCTGGATCTACAATACGAACCCATCGGTCCTCTAGAAGTTGTTATCAGCATGTACAAAGAGCGCACCGAGGATGTCGCAGCACTTATAGCAAAATTGGAGAGTATGTCGCAGATGTCAGAGGCTCTTATCACGATTTACTTGAAGGACAGCGAGGCGGACGAAAGACAGATTAAGCAAGAAACGAACGCGCACGAAGTGATAAAGCTTCCAAACGTAGGACGCGAAGCCGAAACGTACCTTAACCATATCGTCAACCGCTGGGACAGTCTCGCCGAGAGAACCGTGTTCCTCCAAGCTGATGTTCATAACCCACGAGAGTTCTACCCATTTTTCGAGCGATACTTCCGTGCGAACCAGACGGGTTTCCTCAACCTAGGATGGGCAGGCATTCTTTGCAACAGCGACGACTGTGGGGACAAGCGCGGTTGGCAGGACGAAACCTCGCTGTTCCCGAATTTACAATCCCGAATCGACGACTCCCACCGTGAGAACGTTCTCCTCAGCTACAAGGGCCAATTCGTTGTCACCGCAGCACGTATCCGCGGCATCGACAAATCCATCTACGATGAACTATGGCAGCTCCTTGTCGATGAGAACAGCTGGGCCCACCAGGAACCCTACCTTCAAGGACGACCCGATTCAATGAGCCAGCCGTGGTTCGGATACACAACGGAGAGGATATGGAATTTGCTGTTTCAGTGCTCAGACATGGACGTCGCATGGCGGTGTCCGACTCTGTTGAGCGGATGGAGACCTGGCGGTAGCATTGCGGACTGCCAGTGCTTTGATTCAGAGCTGGTGGAGTAGGCGGGCAGCCATGAGTAGCGGCCCATGGTGTTTGTTTTGTTTGTTGTGATACCCCTAGACGTCGAAAGGCGCAACGCGATTTTCCGAATTCCGTCACTTGTTGTTAATTATAGATGACGCGCAATAAGAACGAAGTAATAAGAGCTTTCCAGATTTGATGCACATCAAGATCATTACTTCCGCCATGTCCCCGCACACACACGTCAGCATGCTTTTTCTCTGCCCAGGCGGTCGAGTCTGCAGATGGCCATCGCACGCAAAAATGCCAACCCGAAGCGTTTGAGGTTCTGATACACCAGCAAGCTGCCGATGCAGGAGGTTCGAAGCGCCAAGCTGAAACACTTTGTGCCGGCGAGATCTCGCGCTTGCCGTTTGACACGTGATACAGCATCCCCACTTCCAATGCTGGCCCGGGTTCTGCAATCGATCCCTGCGCGCACAGCAGCGAGCGACCACTCACACATGACTCGGCCGCATTGCACAGCCATGGCGTCGCAGATACTCTCCTTTCCCTTGAAACGTTCCATAAGATCGCTTGCGGCGACGTTTTATACCTAGTTGAACAATTGTCCACAGCTAATTTATCCGTCTTCAAGTTCTGGACAGCCTACTGCAAACACCGTATAGCTCGCTTCCTATTAACCTGGTATATCTGTCGAAATTGCACGTCCGGACACTAGACGATCGCGTTCCTCCCATCTGGTACAAACCCTGCCACCCTGCACACGCACATGGCGACGGTTCAGCGAGCGAGCAACAAGCTCTCAATTTCCTCGAACCGAAGCTCAGATGGTCTTTACAAGCATCGCCAGAGTATGCTTTTCCGGGAACTAGAGATTCTACTTGAACTCACACCGAGCACCTTCAGCTCGCCACTTCTGGCTCTCCCAAGAGAAATCCGCGCCCAAATCTTCAACTATGTGTTACCCGACACCAAAAATCGGCCTGAACTTCACACCTGTCTATGGGGAGCAGAGATGTCCAACGGAGAACCCTGGAGGCACGACATTTTTGGGTATGGATCCTCCGTAGCTAAGGCATCCCGATTACGGCCCGAGCTCCTCCTTATTAACAAACAAATCCGCGACGAGTTGCTTTACAATTACTTTCGCCGCAGCAAGATTACGTTGCACGCTGAACTACGAAATACGCGGACCAATAACGACTATTTTGAGTTCTCACAGCACATTCTGCAATTGCCCATGCTGAAGCATGTAACGCATATACGCTTCTACATCGAATGGAACTACACAACGCTGAAGAACGGGGGCCGAGATCGTATGATGAGAGACCAGGCGCGCATGACAAGCAACCTCCTCGCAGCCATGGACAAGATCGCCCTTTCGCTTCAATGCATTGAAACCATTGAATTGTCGGTCCTCTTCTTCTGGAAATTTCGAAGCGGCAAAATGTACAGTCTTTCCATGCAGGACCTCTTTGACCTCGAAGACGTCTTCAAGCGGTGTGCTGAGTTGCGTTGGCTTAGTCTACTTGGAGAAAACGACCTTCCAGGGAAGAAAAAGATTACCACCTCTACTTATCTCAGCCCGACTTCGGCGGCGGCAACTTCTTCAGCGGGTGTAGGCTACAAGATGTCGACAGAGAAGAAGGGTACGGAGCAGAGTGGAGGCATGGAGATCTGCGTGAGCCGTGACTTGGAAGACGCGATGGAGGAGCGAAGAAAGAGTAGCGTCGACTTTTTCGGTAACTACGAAGTCACAGAGCCTTTACCACAGCCTAGTTATCGGCATGGTGCTATGATATAGGGCCAAGAGGAAAGAAGAACTGCATGAGCATGCGGAAGAGTGACAATGAGTCTTTCTTCATACAATACATGTCTCGACGGAAGATGTCAAAAGCATAGACCACCTTATGGACGACATATCTGCGAGAAGAGTCGGGCATCATATCATCTACGTCGAGCACAACGGCTCCACAAACCAAGTCATCTACAACGCGAAATTCAACAGAACGGTGATCTGCCTCACCTGTTTGACGCGGACAGCATAAGAGCTGAGTGAGGCAGTCGTCATGACTTTGAGAGTAACGCGAATCTGCTTCAATCTTCAGCGCACGTGGTGAGAAAGGATCCAGGTCACGTGTTCACCGACACTGCGTTGTAAACTATTCTTGACTGTGCTATATCACCAGATGGGTATCATATCCCGAGATGTGGCGTGCAATCAACGCTAAATCAAACGGTTCGGCCGAGGAGTGTGGAGTTTGTTGTTAAGCAATAGCGGGGAAGATGGAGAAAACGGAACTTCAGTGAAATCAAACTTCGCAGACAAAGCTGCTAAAGTCAAGTTGGAGTGACAATAACCCAATTCTCACTATTCAACACTACCTTAAATCTGTGTTGTTCTCCGGATAGAAATGGGGGGAGGTACAGCGGAGAAGGTGGTGAGTGTGGGGATCATGCGCTATATGGGTACCTAGGCTCACGGTAGTGTTCCGCGTCTTGGACCCTCCATCATCGTACTGACGAGCAGACTAATCACAGTCAAAATGCAGTGGGGATAAACAGGGTCTCTCTTAAAGGATTATTGCATCACGATCTTTCCGTGATAGGGCTTAGTTGGCGCAAGTTGCACTTGCTTTTTCTCGCACCCTGTTGTGTAACGGATTTAACGATCATAGCCTTCACCAAGCAAGCCACACGACGTGCGGCAAGCAGGTAGCCGCAGCCGCAGCCACTGACACTGTCCACTACCACTAGCTGCATCTCAATATCTACTACTTAATATGGACTCCAGCAGCTGTCGTTTACCGCGCCACTACTACCTACTCTACTCCCCTACAGATCCAGGTGATTGACGCAACCCATTGCCTTATTTCCGGACGCCAACGTGGTCAGAATCTCCATATGCCAGTACTATTAGCTCAATAGCGTTCGTCTTGCGAGTTTCCATGAAAGAATCTCGAGTTGTCTTGTCGGGCTGAGCAGCGCATCCCTAGGCGGTTTTCCATGACACCTAGCGCAATCACCACCTACTGAGGCTTCCACGGTAGCTAAGAACTGACGACATGCCACAATCAGAACCACCCAAACTGTATCGCCATCCTACGAGAAGCGAGATCATCGACCAAGCAGCAGCTGAGGGTCATGATGCGGATATCCCAGGCAACCTCGGTTCTATACACCAAGTTCCTAGTCATACCTCAGAGAGGCGGCATTCTTTAGACGAGAAGAAGCATGAGTACACGACGGGAGAGCAAGATGTTGAAAAAGGCAACAGACCAGCCTCTATCTACAGTGCAGACGAACCAGACGCGGAAGAGGAGCCTGAACGCGATCCAAATATTGTAGACTTTGACGGCCCCGATGACCCCGAGAACCCACTCAACTGGAAGGCATCCCGTAAATGGGGTATGGTTGCCCTAATTAGCGGGATTACTTTCCTCACGCCTCTCGCAAGTTCACAATTCGCGCCTGGCGTCCCGGAAGTTATGCGCGACTTCAACTCAACCAGCGATTTGCTGGAGGGCTTCATGGTGTCCGTATATGTCCTTGGGTTTGCCTTTGGGCCGTTGATCATTGCGCCGCTGTCGGAGATGTATGGTCGATTGCCATTGTATCACAGCTGTAACTTGCTTTTCATCGTCTTTACGATCGCGGCAGCTGTAGCGACGAACATGGCGCAGTTTGTTGTGTTCAGGTTTTTCATGGGCTGTTTCGGAGGAGCGCCTATGGTGCTTGGTGGTGGGACCATCGCAGATCTCATACCCAGGGAGCAACGAGGCACTGCGATGGCAGTCTGGTATTTCCAACATATATGTGTCTTATAGATCAAGGCTGACTTCGACCAGGATGATGGGACCGACTATCGGGCCTTGTGTTGGTCCTATTATCGGTGGCTTTTTGACGGTTGCGAAAGGCTGGCGGTGGAATTTTTGGTTTGTTGCTATAGTGGTAGGTTTACATCTAGGCTCTCTGTCAGTTGGTAGCTAACACTATTAGGGTGGCGCATTCTTCATCACGTCACTCATTCTTATGAGAGAAACATCTGGAATTATCATCCTACAACGAAAAGTCAAACGACTGAAAGCCGAAACTGGAAACTCAAAGCTACGCTCAAAACTGGATGGTGGTCTTACACCAAGCCAACTATTCAAATTTTCAATCATCCGACCTGCCAAGATGTTATTTCGCTCCACCATCTGCTTCGCCATCTCACTCTACATCGCGATAACATACGCATATCTCTACATATTGTTTACGACATTCACCGCCGTCTTCAAGGGTCAGTACGGCTGGCATGGTGGTATCACTGGTCTATCTTTTCTTGGATTAGGCATTGGGTCTCTTATTGGCCAATTCACCTACATCCACTACGGCAACAAAGTAGTGCACAAGCACATGGCGCGCGGCGACTTTCGTCCCGAACACAGGTTATATATGATGTGCATCGGCGGCTTCTTCATTCCATGCGGTCTCTTCATCTACGGCTGGAGTGTACAGTATCAGACTCACTTCATGGTGCCTATTGTTGCAACAGGCATCATCGGATTCGGTCTGCTGATGACGTTCATGCCAGCGACGACGTACTTGGTCGACGTGTTCACTATTCACGCCGCGAGTGCCATGGCAGCGAGTACAGTGCTGCGCAGTCTTGCAGCAGCATTCATTCCACTGAGTAGTCAGACCATGTATGCACAAATGGGATACGGATGGGGTAACAGTATGTTAGGCTTCATTGCTACCCTACTCATCCCGATCCCATTTCTGTTCATTAGGTATGGAGAAAAGATCCGGGCTAGAAGTACAGTCAAGCTCTGAAAGTAGAAATACGCCATGTACAGACTTAAATAGACTCATCACGCAATAGCAGACGAACATCCTACCTATTCTGGATTCTTATTGTTGAAAATGCGATTCGTCGCGGGTCACGGCTCCCGCTACCTGACTCGTATAGGCTATACAGAACCTCGGTGTGTACTCCGGCGCCCCACTCATGCTTTTCATGGCTCACATTAGAAATGCAACGTCATAGCATGCATCTTACCATAAACAGCAACCCGATGGTAGTGAACAATCGCTTAGACATTGTTTAGATAACTGCTCTGTAGAAGTATTTTGGTGTAACGATATCACGCAACTCGCATCATCGCAAGAATATAACCGATTAACTCGATATGGCGTCTTCACTCCCCGAATCCAATACATCTTTGACCTATACACAACCTTCTTCTCAACCACATTTAACACATACACCCATACCTACGCCAGGTCCACAGGAGGTGCTGATCAAGATCAAAGCCGCGGCTATTAGTAAGTATCTTTGTACGAACTGCACGTGAGCCAGACACTGACTTCGTACAAAGATCCAGTAGACATCCAACTATGGGGAAATCCCGTGATCGGCTGGCTGGCAGGTAAAAAAGAGAAAGGAATAGGGCGAGACTACTCGGGTGACATTGTTGCCGTGGGGGAAGAAGCAAAGAGTGGAAAATGGGAGGTTGGAGACGAAGTTTTTGGATTGTGCAATCGACCCGTAAGCCAAACCTCATCAAATTACCTTTTGGAAGACAATACTAAATTGAAATCATGATAGATGGCGGAAGGAACATTCACACAATACCTTTGTGTCAATCCAACCTCCGAACCCATCGCAAAGAAACCTAGCACTTTGTCTCATCACGAAGCCGCCGCCATACCTCTTGTTGTCTTGACCGCATTCGCCTGTCTCGATTGGCTCCCGTCTCCATCCAGCTCTCCATCTCCCTCGCAACGCCGTGTGATCGTATCAGGAGCAAGCGGCGGTGTAGGAATGTGGTGTGTACAGCTAGCAAAGAAGCTCTACTCTTGCCATGTCATCGGCATCTGCTCGGGTCCCAATGCCGATTTTGTGAGCAAATTGGGCGCAGATGAGGTAATTGACTATCGTACGCAAGACGTGCCAAACTCCCTGCTTTCCAAGAGGCCCGCTGGTACCAAATACGATCTGTACATTGACTGTGTAGGTGGCACGGAAATGTTCGAGCATTGGAAGCAACTCCTTCATCCCTCTGGCGCGTACATAACCATTGTTGGAGACAAAACTTCAAGGACCGCAATGGGAGGACCGTTGACATATTTCACATACCCATCCCAAGTCATACGACATATCCAGGGTTATCTGTTTGGGCCGCGATATGCGAATGTTATTCTGTACCAGAAGAGCGAGTTGCTCGAGCAGGTGAGGGAGTTGGCAGAGAAGAGCGATGTGCAGGTTGTGGTCCAAGATGTTGTCAAGGGGATTTTGACCGAAGAAAACCATGTTGAAGCTTGGGAGAAGACTAAAAGCTATATGGTGGAAGGACGAGTCAAGGGTAAGATTGTTATTGACATTGCGTAAGGTCTTGTGTGACGGTTAAATATTTACATAGGAGTCGAAGGATATCTTACAAATTGCTGTTTGACCCTCTCGTTCTTGCAGATGTTAAGTATTACTAAAACACAGAAACATCTTTCCAAACCACTTCGAATACGATGGTGAGCTCGCTTGTTGACACACGCGATGGTCTAGCTCGTCCTCTACTCACTCAAGTTCTGCTGGAAGAACTCTGTGAGCCTGCCAAAGGGGATCAGGTCAACGCGGTCGTACAAGTCCACATGGCCAGCGCCTGGAATCCAAACTAGCTCCTTTGGTTCTGCCGCAGCCTCATACGCATCTTCGCTGAACTCGCGCGAATGTGCCATGTCGCCAGAGATGAACATAACTGGACGTGGGGATATGGTATCGAGGTCGCTAAAGGGATAGAAGTTCATAAACTTGGTCTGGCTGGAGAGCGTAGGGTGGGTGGTGAGGTTTGGTGCAGAACCTGCAGGTGTGAACTCGCCTCGGGATGTGCGGTAGAAGTCGTAGAACTCGCGTGAAACTGGATCGGTCTCATTGGTGAGAACATGAGGAGTTCCACCCGTATACTTTGGAAATGGAGGCACGAAGTTAGTGTACGTCTCACATGCATTTGATGTAGTCACAACATACCTCCGTTTCTCCACCGCTGGCCTCTACCCAACGTTGCGCCGCCGCCGTTGCAATGACCTGCTTGCGTTGCTCGACGCTCTGCGATCTCTGTAATCCGTTGCGGCTTACAGCCCCCATGTCATACATACTGGCTGTCGCGATAGCCTTGATGCGCGGATCGATCTTTGCTGCGCTGAGGACAAAGGAGCCACTGCCACAGATACCGATAGCTCCGATACGCTCGCGGTCAATGTAGTCTTGTAGACCTAGGTAATCGACTGCAGCACTGAAGCTCTCGGCGTAGACGTCTGGCAATACGGCGTTTCTTGGCTCGCCGTCGCTGCCTCCCCAGAAGGAAACATCAATCGACATAGCGACGAACCCTTGCTCCGCCATCTTGGTGGCGTACAGGTTTGCACTCTGTTCCTTCACGGCTCCCATTGGATGACCGACGACTATAGCGGACGCGTTGATGCTTCGATCGAGATTGTCGGGTAGGAAAAGGTTGCCCGCCACGGTCATCTGGTATTGACTGGGAAAGGTGATCGGATGCACCGTGACGTTGTCGCTGCGGTAGAAGTTGTTGGCTCCATAGGACAAGTTCTGTGCCGCCGCTGGCAGCATCTGAAGAGCAGCCACGAGAGCTAGCGATACGAACGTGACCGTCATTTTCGAGGCGCTTCTTCTGCAGATAGTAGTCTGGATTCGTTGTGGTGGATGTGGAAGCTTGGGTATGTGATGATCTCTTTGGCAGCGATACAGCGTTCTTATAGTTCAAGAAGCTGGCTCTTGCGAACTTGCACTGCCATAGCTTGCGTCAGCCCCATCAAAGAGATGTTGATGTTGAGCCAGGGTACGGCAGACTTATTCCTCTACATCACTCTCGCCAAGACTGGGCATGCAAGGGGATGACATGATCATAGTAGGCATTTCAAGGCGACAATTCCACCAGCCTAGGGATGTAAAGTGAGTAACGATAGGAGAACGATGTACTAGTGCTACGTAGACCCAAGTCAATAGCAAGAATGAGTGGTAACCAAGGTATCTGATCAATCAGACCACATCGAAAGTAGGAAACAACAAGACAGATGCAATTACCGTGCGGCGTCATGTTTTTGCAGAGGAGATGCCTGCTGTTGCTTGTTGCATATTTTCCCCTTGATGAAGTGACGTCTTGGCCTACTGCAGCCAGCTGACAGTCTTAAGTCCACCCGGCGCTAAAGCGTGATCGGTTTGGTCTGACTAACAAGGTTCCAGGTTTGACCGTCTACCATGATTCCATACTTGCAACAGCATGCTTAGAAATGGTTATTGCGTAGTTGAAATTTTGATGAAGAGAGACATAAAAGATCTTACCATGAGTCTTTCTGCGCATGGTAGCATGCGGGTGTCCTTGGAAAATCTAAATTTCTTTGAAGGTATACGCTGAAAACGCACATTAGCACCTTTTGCACGAGTTTCTAGACTAGTAGATACTTACATACTTTTAAATAACGTACGGATGCAGGTTCTCGAACGGCTCGAAGTCCGAGGACTTGGAGGCTCTGCTGATCGTTCCAAAACGTTGCAGTGGCAACATCCGGTGTACAAGCGTACCTAGAGCTACGTTGTTTCTTGGCATGTCACGGTGCCATATGGGGCACTTGATCATGCCATGTCGGTCGTACAACTGTTTGAGCTCCTCTTGATCATGGTTTTCGTCATTTCGTGAGCGCTTTTGAACTGCCTTCTGAACAACCTTCGAATTGAGGGAAGACATAGGGGAAGCACCATGTTCCCCCCTGGAATTGCAGGGCATGTATATCGCTGCATGAACGACACCTGAATTTGGTTTACAAGCTTTCAAGTTCGTGCAAACCTTGTTGATAACGAGTCTAGTAGCAGGGTGTTCCGTTACAATCCTTCCACCGGAATTGGAAATGCGGTAAACTGGTACTCAGAAGATCGATGCGGATGCGAACTACGCTGTAAACCCTAAAACTGCATGCCCGGAAGGATAAACGGGTAACTATGTTAATTCGGCTGAGGATGCTCTCATAATCCCGACAGGTAAGGTCATGATTGATATGATAACCGGACGTGACAGCTACTACACCTCATGCTTGTTTGACTGCTGAAAGCTTCCAACGACTGCAATTCTTTAAGACAGACATTCTCTTACTGCCCATGTTCCAGACGCATGGGGCGGCCGAATAAGTTTCTTATGCCATGAACTTTGCAAACATGCCCCGTCGGGCGGACTGCTGATGGCGAGCAACTTCAAGGACAATCCGATCGGAATGGCGTGCATTTACTATGGTTTCGGGGAGTCGCTACGCAGTTGCTGCCGCCGAGTTGGATCATCTTGATCTGGCCGCCACTACATCAAAGAGAGAAACTAAACACTTCTTTAGAGCATACCTAGGGAGTACTTCTTTTACAAGTTTTTTAATAGGAGCTAATGTAAGCTGCAAGGTAGGGCTTGTTGTCTCTATACCTACTTGGTTTTTCCCTTGTACGTGGTGCCGCCGTGGAGAGGATCTCTGGGCAGATAGGCGCTACCTAACTCGGCCAGAGATTGTCGTACATGTGCATACGAATTGAGATGAGCTGTTTCTTCCCGGCAGCAGTTCTTTTTATGCACAAGATGTGTGGATGTCAACCCCAGATGGCTCTAGGACAAGACTAACGCAGGTGCGTGACCAACAGCGATGACGTTGGCTGCAGGGTCCATGCTTCGCCCCAGCCTCATGGACATGGACCGCGGTCGCTATCTGGACGCCAGCCTCAACCACTACCAGAGCTCTCCACTCTCCACAACAACCCCGACCATCCTACCCCAACTTCGAATTCACATCGAAGTTCTTCCCGTCGTGTTTATCGCGCGACTATAACACTACAGCTCGTCTCTAGTACCGCAGCTGTCTTCACCGCCGCCATGCAGCTCACCACCCTCTTGCTCGCCGCGCTAAGCGCCGTCTCTGTCTCTGCATCGCCCTCATGGATGGGTGGCGACCAGGTCACGATCCAGGAAGAGTACAAGGTCCCAGGCGACAACCCCTTGTATTTCTGCGGTGACCCAGCCAACGATCTTCTTAAGATTGAGAAGGTTGACCTGAGCCCCAACCCACCCAAGCCGTACGTGATCCCTGTTGGAGTCTTGTGAGAGTTGCGCATCTACACGTGTGGTAGTTTCGCAAGTCTTGAGAAGTGTGAAGCGAGAAACTAACCTGGGTACAGTGGCGAGACGCTCAGCATCAAGGCCACAGGCGACTTCAAGGAGGAAGTCGGTGAGGGTTTCACAATGCACTTGCAAGTCAAGTACGGCATCATCACACTCATCAACCAGAATGCAGACGGCTGCGAAACGATAAAGAAGGGCGATCTCGAGTGCCCGCTCAAGAAGGGCGAGATGAGCTTGACCAAGGATGTTGACCTGCCCAGGGAGATCCCTCCGGTGCGTTCGAAGAGCCTGACAAGATGCGAATTAATACTAACAACCAGTAGGGCCAGTACACTGTTCTCGCAGACGTCCTTACCAAGGACGGCGACAAGATTACTTGCCTGACCGCCAAGATCGCTTTCCACCGGTAAATTGCCTCACCTTCGTTTCGCCGCCACAACACACGACGAGCAGCGATGGGATCTGATGTTCACACATGTAGGGGAGATACGGAGGACAGTAATACGGGCAGTGGTAGTAAAGTCAAGTTTGGACAGCCGAGAGTGCAAATGTCTGGGCCCCTCGCCGGGCTTGTGCAAGAGCGATTGAGGCGAAGGAACGAGCTGTAACCAAATGTTGGCGAATTGTTTTCATGTCTTGAATCACGATACCAGTGCGAGGTTGGCTTTACTGTTTTGCGTGTGGATTTGGACGTAGGGATGGACCATGGCTTAATGTAGATACGACGGACATGCATATACTCTGTGGCACGATTGACTCTTTGACCCTGTTTTGTAATGGATATCATATCTGCGCACGTTGAATGTTGTATGTACACAAAGCTGCCCGTGGTGGACGCCACGTGCTAGAGCCATGCGTAGTGTATCCGACACATGCGACCCTCTCCATGCGTTGCCAGTTTCCGCGTTCAACGTCTACTCTCCGAATAGCCTCCTCACCCTCTTCAGCACGCTGTCCTTCTCAGGGTCGTAGGGGTGGTCTTTGGACGGAATTTCGAGAAGGGAAGGGAAAGCAGCCGTGTATGTCTCAACCCGGTGTCGTATCCTCTCGGCGATCTAGCAGCGGTCAGTCGTGTCCTTCGCACCGTGTCCAAGAACGACTCCAGCGTCACTTGTCCAGCTGGGAGCGCCATGTCCGGGCCAGGTAACACGTACATGTTGATTGATGAGTAGAATCGCGATATCCTTGCGCTCGGTGGTGAAGCGGTCGAATGCTGCTTCGATGGCCGAGGTCTCGGTCTTTGCGTCCACAACGAGAAAGTTCTTCTGGCTGTCTGGTGGCTGGGTAACATGCTGTGATCTGCGTCAATGTCCTGTTCGCATCGCGCGTTGCAGCTCGCAATAGCTTACGCCTACGCCGGCAAGCAGCATGCCCGTGCAAGTGTCCTGCGACCGGTTAGCGCCCTTGACCCGCCAGGTGAGGATCTGTCGACAAGCACACCTCATCGCCTATGACGGCCAGGAACTGCCTGTCCTTGTACTGTGCCGCTGGTGCTGCCATTGCGATATAGCTCGTGAGGCAGCTGTCGTGAGGTCGGAGCTTGGCTGCTGAAGCTGGAGCTCCCGCGCGCCGTCGTCATGGGCGGGACCACGGCCTAGTCCGCGTTGGGCCAACTGTTTGTACTGTCCTTTCTTTCACCACGCGCTCTTTCCTCATCGTCGTTTCTTGTCTCAACACCGCCATGCCGACCTGATTCTCACCACTACCCCGCTCTTTTTCTTTACCTCTCCTATACAACCCACAACTCTAACCCAGGGACTATAATCGTAATACAGCCGAACCATGCCTCCTGTCGTGCGCCGCGCACCGCTCTCGGAACGCATAAAAGCCTACTTTGACCTGTCCGACTGGCTCATCTGGATATCCGAAGAGCTCAACAGCTCCGATTGGGAAGAATTTGCATCTGCTTATGCGCTGTACATTGGCTTTGGCGCAAACCTACTCTTCGTTCTCGCCCAAGCCAACAGCGGCGCATCCACGGCCTCGGACGACGATGGCGTCTTCAACGAGGTGCAGGGCCCAGGATGGATAAAGTGGATCATGGGCCTGCTGGTGCTGGTGCTGGGTGTGGCTAGCTTTGGCAATGCGTGGCTGGTCTGGGGCAAGAAGAGGTATTACCGTCTCTTCGAGCAGAGCGTCGATGTTGCGCCACAGACACCTAGTGCGAAGCGCGTTAGGGTCGACTCATCGCCTGCAGCAGCGAGTCCGATGCAGTTTGTGAGGAACTTGGTGCAGAACAACGCGGCGAGTCGGGCGCATCCTGTCGAGGGCAGAGACGTTTGGGAGGTGGCGGTTTGGGATCCAAATCCGCTGTGTCTGGAGTTGTTCTGCTTGTTCAGCCCGTTGCACGTGGTACTCTACTACTTCAACCTCCCAGTCGCTCCGTTGGATCCGAGACCGAGTGTCAGGGTGACCACGACTATCTTCATCGGAGCAGCGCTGTCGCTTCATCTTTGGTGGCTTAGGAGCTCCTTCATGCAGCAGGCCAAGGACAACTCTCTGATCAGTCGCCAAGTGCTTCACGAGTACGATAGCAAGTTCGTTCATCCCGCGTTGCAGAAGCCGTGCCGCGACGTTGGTATCCAGACCATTTCAAAGAACCGAACCCGTGACTCGAGTGTCGGCGTCAAGGGCAGCAGCAGTGATCTCGCGAGCTCAGTCGTCACATATACGCCAACCACCATTGTTAACCGCCGCACTTTCCGTACGAACCCGAACGCAAGCTACGCCTCACAATACGACCCTGACGATATGGCTTCTCCGTCTGTCACGCGATCCCTGAGACGTAGACCCTCCCTCCACCAAGACCACAGCAGCTCGCAGTATGCAAGCACATCCACAGCAACAGGTCCTGACTTCTCCTCTCCTATTCGACCCTCGCAAACACCCAACCCCTTCCGTCAAGCACCCACTATTCCCAGGACCAACAGCAAGCCTGCTGACGGCGGTTATCTGGGGATAAACACTCATGCCGCGTCTCCTCTACGAAAGTCGGCAAGTGCAAACTTTATAAAGGATGGCGAGAGGAGTGCGAGCCGTGGGAGGGACAGTCTAGGTGGCGCCTTTGAGCGCAGGGCTAGTCCGAGCAAGCGGGATGTCAGCCCTCTGAAGCGTATCAGTCTTGGAAACTTGAACGCCGAGAGGGAGAGGGGAGAAAAGACTTTGGGTCAGGCGGGTAGCCTAGGAAGGAGTACTCAGTACGGTAGTCTTGGTGTGGGACGAAGGGAAAGCGGACGATACTAATGGTCATCTCTGTGCGATAGACGAGAGCCAGGATACGGAAGAGCTTGTGCGGCACTGAGCTGTGAGTTCGATTAATTCGTGTACATTTTATTATATACAATACCCCAATATATGCCACCATGATGGCGCTTTTCTATTGCAGAATCTCTTTGATCACTTAGCTCAACGTATGGCTTCTTGTGTACTCTTCAAAAGCGCCACGTCACTGTCAGACCTTCTGTTCAAGAGATCGGCGACTAAGCGATGGGTACTTTCATGAGACTAAGCCGCGTGGTTGGCGCGTCGATGATAACATGTTGCGTACCGTTGGCCTAACTTTGTATACTTTACTTTGAGATGACAGCTGGGATGCTTTCAAAACCCCCTTGTAATGATGAGTCATGAAGGACCAACTAATTGCTGTACTTGTTTGGAATTCTTGAAAGGTTGTAGATTATGCTCCTATACGAGAGAATTGGGAAGAGCATTAGAAAAAATCGCCATCATTTTTCCTAACGACTACACGTTAATTTCGCCATGCTTCACCATTTGGTAAGAACATGTATCTTGAATGGCTAGCGCATTCTCTTCTATTCCACTTGCTCTTTAGCATGAAGCAACTGCTTTCCCTCTTCTTGTACTAAGAACAATGGAACGACATGCCAACTGTATGGGGCAGAACTATTGAAATCGTGTCTAGAGTGTAGAGATCGTGTCAAGCTGGGAGAAACCAATCTCTGGACCCAAATATAGCCGTAGGGCAGAAAGCACCAATGGAACGCTTTCCGTTTTTCATTGTAGGATATTCTTTGCATTACAGGTCTGGTATGCTCTCTGAAACGAAAACGTTTTACCTCTGCACATCTGCTGCAAGTTCGAGAACTGCACAATCAGTCTCCATAGAATCATGCTTTAGTATTTCACGTTCTGATAGAGGGCCGTCCGTGCAGCTGTTGCAGCTGTTTGATCCCAGCATTAGACACCTTTACACGGACTCTTCCCCTTCACGGGTTGTTCTTCTCTTTGTTCGAGACATGTATCAAAATAGGTTCAAAGATGAATCGAAAAAAAAAGAACTGCAAAAGAAGAAACTTTACCTTATTCTGTCAGTCACAAGCATCAACCCATATAACGGTCGCTTCTTCTCGGTTCTTCCGAAAAGCTTGTTTAACAAAAAGGCTTGAGGGGATCCGGTCGCTGGTCGAGAGCCGTTATAACACGTCATAGGATGTTGGAGTTGCGCGTCGTCCGATCGCATAGGCCTCGGACAGGCCGTCGCGCCGGACTCCAAAAAATAATTCATCCCAACAGGCCAAATATACGCATCTCAATAGTCTGCCACGTATACCAATATATGAGAATGCTGGCACTCGATGTCATAGTGTTCAAAGCGTCATTTTTGAAATGTGGGGTTCATATTTGTACCAATAGATATTTACAAAAAAAGGTATCCTTAGCATGGGTCTAAGAAACCATGATCCATGATCCAAGCCATGTAGCGCATTGCTAGTGTCATCATTCGCAATCATCGTACTCTCCCAGAGAGTCAAAGTGATCTTTCATAAGAAAATCCCTTCATCGAGCGCTTAAACAGAGTTGATGAAGGAGAGAAGGGCGGCGGTGCGAGCGTATACACCAGGGAAGTTGGGCTGAGCACAGCCGTTACCCCAAGAAACGAGACCAATAAGAGTCTTGGCGGAGTTGACAATGGGGCCGCCAGAGTCACCCTGGCAAGAGTCGCGACCACCAGTGGTGTATCCAGCGCAGAACATGTTGTTGGTGATAGCAGAGGTTCCGTAGGATGAGCGGCACTCGGTGCGGGAAACGATCGGGACGGAGACCTTGTAGAGAGTGCTGGGACTGCTGCCGCCCTCAGTAAGGGCACCCCATCCGGCGACAGTTGCAGTAGATCCAGCAGCGGGGTCGGATCCGGAAGCAGGGAGAGTTGCGTAACCGATGGTGCTGCTAGTAGGGACGGCAGTGGAGAGCTTCCAAATGGCGACATCGAAGTCCTGGCCCGAGCTGCGGTAGCTTGGGTGGACAGTAACGGAAGATACGCCAACGAGTGTTCCACCGGAGCTCTTGTTCAGGCTGCCGGCGCGGACACGGAGACCGCTGACTGAGCCAATGACGGAGCTGACGGAGCAGTGAGCAGCAGTGATGACGGTAGTAGAGTCCAACAGAGAGCCACCGCAGAAGTGGGATCCGCTGCGTTGAAGGCTGACGATGAAGGGGAACTCGCCCGCAGAGGCAGTGGTTCCACCAACAATGTCGTCGGCGGGAGCATCCTCAGGGAACTCGTAGTCGGGGTCTTGAGGAGTGGGAGCCGCAAGGACGAGCGCAGGAAGCGCGATTGCGATGATGGATTGGAAACGCATGATGATTGTTTCGAGTGAATGAGGCTACGCGGAGTAGGATTGGAAAGTGATTGAAGTGAAGAGACAAGCGACTGACTGAGCTGGCTGATGATGAAAAGGAAGGGAAACAACTCTATACTTATACGCAGGCTATGGTCCCCTGAGCATCTGAGCATCCTTACACTGCAACCTTGCGATTGTGTTGTCCGGAGATGCCAAGCGTGATCGACTAAGTGTGTAGTTTGTCCTTCCGAATTGGGTGTCCGCTACGACTTGGCAAACTCTTAACATGAAGTCCGCCAGTGTACCTTAGGCGCGCCAGTGGAGGCTCGGCGATCCTGCCCATGTAGGTACGTTATCTGCCTGTAGTATAAGCTTTCAAGCTAATTGCCTGGCAGCGAATGCGAGAGGAGAAGCTGATCCAGCGGTTGCTCCCGTATACCAGGATCAAGGCCAGCTTTGCCTCACAGCTGCATTCTGCGGATCGGTTTCTCCAGATCGTTGCTTTTTCGCCCCTTATCTCAAAGTCTCACAGGGCTGTGGTCACAGCCACACCTTGAAACATGTTGCAAACAAGAATAGCTCCTTTGTGGTCTCATGCCATTATGACGTATTCGTCTAAAGTGTACATGGCTGTGTGTATGTCGTGAGTAGCAGGACCAGCGACGCTGTTCCCTAGATAGCAGGAGGTTGTAACGGTTCTACATCCTTGCCATAGTAAAGCCGAAGTGGCATCGCACTTTGTTTGCCATAGTCCTGGATCTCGCTGGCGCCGTTGAATCGCTACGACTTGTCCCAGTGTCTGGCGCAGTCACGTCTTCTCTCCTGAAGAGGCAAGTGATTTTGCCACATATTGTGCGCAAACCGACAGAAGCGCCGACCGGGTTCTTGTAACATGTCAATGTAGGCGAACCACGATGCAGGGTATGTATATCACCCTACATGATCAGCATGGGATGCGATTCTTGGATGGACGAATGGTGTGTTCTTGTTGGCTTAGTTGTGCCTAGTACGTCGAAGGGCAAAAGGAAGGAGAATTGACCTGCCACAACGGATAGGTCCGCGTGGGCTGCTAGCGAAACACTCGCGCACTTGGCCCCGGCACGTATGATTGCGACCTCGGAGATGGCGAGCCTAAGGACTGTCGCATTGTCGTGTTCGTTGGTCGTCACCGGCTCTGAGCCAGAAAAGGCAGGAGACGTTAGGACGATGGGGGAGCTATCGAAAGACCGGAGCTTTGAGATCTTGGCGGTGCGCGCGTGAGCCGGCTGAGTGCCGGAGTTAGTATCGATCTTCGCAACGGCGCTGGAACTCATGCATAGTAGCTCTGGTATGGAGATCGCAGGTGTTCTTGCTGGTGGTATACGGCATGCGGAGTGGCTGAGATGAGGAATTGCGTTCAGCGCTCGCCCACAGCCAACCTCGGTACCACCTCGATAACGCCATTGCCACACGTAAACATCTCTCGTCAACGTGTTGTTCATGCGCCGACCAGTAGATCTAGGTAACGCATGCAAGACACACTAGCGCAGTACCTTCAGCCTCATACAGGATTTGCCGCCAACACAGGGTACTTTGACTGCTGCCTTGCATAGATGCACAGCGTCCGTGGCGCATCATCCTGCTACTAATACTCCTGACAGCATCTCAGCCCTCTGTAGTACCTACCACTATCCAGAGCGAATGCCAGCTGATTCCAAGGGCCGTCGCAACCTCTTGTGGGTATTTGGACTATTTCTTTTGATCCTGATATCAGTCCGCATCTACTCGTCACAAGACATGGACAGCCTACCAGCACCTTTCACCATCGAAATCAATGGCAGTCCGATCGCCAAGGTCGACGCCAACGCCGAAGACCGTACGCATGCCAAAACGGGAAAAGAAGCAGCTGTTTTTGAGCTCAAAGACAGTCGTCTTCAATGTAACGGTCACATTCTCGGGCGGTCGCTGGTAGAGGATCGCAGCTTCCTGCCAAAGCAAGTGTGGTGGTTCAAGGCAGACACTGATATGCCTGTGCAAAAAGTTACTGCAAGCCAGGATGGCGAGTCGTACCAGTTGAAGTTTGCCAGTAAGTGAACTGTAGTGGCGATGTCGTGCTCATGCTAAATATACACAGATGCTGCATTGATGGCAGAAGATGATGGGGTCTTCGCAGATCTTCTTGGGGGTCAGTATCCTCCGCTTCGACCTTGAGCATGTACTGACAAGCCTAGATCATCCATCTACAGTGGTAGTGAAGCTGCAGTCTCAGTCCTAATCAATGTGATGCGGTAGCATAGTGTGTAAAATAGCCGCATAATGATTCATATGTAGAACACCAAATGTCATGCATTATGGTCTACGATAATGACAAGATCCGATTATGCTGTAGAGGACTCAAAGGTCTGTGGCCAGTGATGCCCATCTAGACCTGCGCAATATTCTCGACACCTCGACGAGTTTGTCATAGCCTATGGTACCTGCCTTGCCAATTACCAATAATCTATACCAAAGTCGATGTGGCAGTTCAGATCTTCAATACCAAGACTTCTCCTAAGATCCGTGCAAAGGGGAGCCATGAAATGCCCGCCTGGCTCAACCCAATCCGACATCTGCCTCTGCTTGATCACCACATGCAGTGCCGCTCTCAGAGGTTGACCTGCATAGAACTCGGCATTCAACACAACCTGTGTAATGCTCTGCTGCTTGATGTATTTAACCCATGTTAAACTGGCGTTGTTGATCAGGGCTGTAAAGAACTTCGTGAGAGGGGCTTTGGTCTCAAGCTGAGCGCACATGATATCCATGGTATAGGCAGGAAATCGGAGATGAAACCTCAGGAGGGGGAAAACATCGATATCTCTTATGTAATCTTGGTTGACCCAAAGACGGAGGGTACCAGCAGGGTCATGGTAGCTTTCGATACGTTTCCGGCTCTTTCCATCCATCTGCGAGGACCGGCGGAGTACTGGGAAGAAGGCCTTGAAGTAGCTCTCCAATACGAAAAGCGGGAAGCGATGTGTTGATAGCCACAGAGGTCGAAATTCGGTTCGAATGAGCGAACAAACCTGAGTCAACCCTATATAAGGAAGCGGCTTGACGGCTGTTCGGCGGTCCTCGTCATCTGAATTTTGCTTCCGGTGTCTAGATTTCTTTGGCTTTTGGTATGTCATTGGGAAGCACCGATAGCTCCACTCTACTGCCATCCCATATACGCGATTTCGAAGTTCTGGCTACAGTCAGTACATCCTAGCTCAGAAATGTGTGGCAGTGACCAACCCCCTGGTAGATCCATAAATCTGAAAACCTGGTCTGGATCTCCTGCCCGTGTTTCCACAGGCTCTTTGACCTCTTCTGGCATGACTGCATCTTCAACGGTGGTCGCCTTTGTCTTCTGATATTTGCTCGGAGACTCTGAACCGCTTCCGTCTATGGCTCGCTTCGTGCCTGCGCTCTTGCCTGTGCCTTTGCTGTTTACAGCTTGCATAGTCTTGGTGTCACCTGCGCACGTCCTGCACCCGACACGTCAGTTACTGTAACAAAAGTATAGCACGTCGCGAGACTCAAGAACACTTACATAGTCGATGTGAAGGCCATACTCGCCAGTTGAATTTGATGGAAGATCAGTAGATGCAGGAGAGGTCTTGTGCAAGTGAGGCCCGATGTTGTGGGATACGAGGGCACAATACAGATGGACCCTGGACCCTAATGGAAGGAGCGGTAAATGCGCGATTGGCTTAAGGAAGCCCCTGCGGCTGGTGCCTGATCGCATTGGGTTCACTCTATGGGTCCACGCGCGTTTGCTCAGTCGGATATGCAGTGAAGCTCATATACACCACTGCAACAACATGCGACCCGGACCTACTGTTCAAGAAACCTCCTGGTCGAAATGTTCGTGGCACTTTTGCAGGAGAATACAAGATAGATCATGGAGATGATTTGCCAGCGGTGCTTTGAAGATGAGGTGGAAGGTTGTCATTTACTACCATAGAAGTGCCAGCAAAAGCCTTGCACATGCTCCTTTTGTGAGCGAATGAGAGCGTGTTCCATTCTGTTTGACTACACGTTGGCAATAACTTCGGGCATCTTGACCAGCCAGTTCTCCCAGAATCTGAACCCATCAATACCTTGCTCGCGACAAAGTGCGCCCGCTTCTTCAGCCATCTCCAGCTCTTCCGTCGCAACACCGACGCTCCAACCGAATCTTTCTGCCGTCTCTTGAGCTGTGACACCCCTGCCAAATGCTTGCCAATCCCAAGTGACGTCCATGTTTGGTGGCGTTTGATGCAGTGTCTTTAGCCAGGCTAATAGACTTGCGATAGTCTTTTCATCAGTGCGATCGCGTCCTTGAACAACGAGGAGCCCGCTCTTGAACTTGCGGAGACGCACGGGAAGCTTCAATGTATCCCACATTCGGGCTGCCTTCTCAAAGTCGGCCGGGCTAACGAGCTCAACGCCACCTCTTGCACGGTTGAAGACAGCCCACAAATCTACCAAGGTCATAATACCGCCCTCTCTTTTGAGTATGCCGCGGGTGTCGTCCGTAAGCCATTCAGCCAAGTTCCTTGATAGTTCTGATACGTACAGCGACTCAGACCCAGAACCTGTACCGAGCATGTCCTTGGTCGTTACCAGACCAAGCGCGGAAGCGGATTGGGATGCCAGCGTGTTGGCTTCCGAGCTACCGTTGGTACCTAGATTGGCCTGCGATGCGAATTGTTCCGCCAGAGCTATGATCTCCTTCGCGGAAGTCATCAGCGCGTCAAGGTCTTCGAATGCACTGCCTATCATGGCCTCGTTGTTCTGTCTTTGCTCCAAGCCTCGTCGCTCCAGCCCCGCAATGCCAACTACACGAGGTCGGTCGACCTCTGCCGATGAACCGTCAGACATAGCCGTATAGCTGTCGTCAAAGGTACCTGAAGACGGCCGTGGCTTGGGAATTGGCGGAGCGCTTTGGAGCAACCATTTACGCTGAACTAAAGCATTCTTCAACCGCTCGTAGAATATCGGTCCTCCACCTGCGCGGAACGATATCTTGATGCATTCGACAGATTCAGACTGCAAAGGTGATGAGAGGACTGGTCCAGGGGACTGCGATCTATCGAGATCTTGGAGAGTATCCAATCTCTTATCCACGGCCGTTGTTAAAGATGCACCACATATCTCGCAGTTGAGCAGAGAAGGATGGTTCTGATAGGTACACCTTGGGCATGACGACGTCCCTCCATTGTTTGTAGGGGCAGGAGCGCTACTCTTCGTGTCTTTGGGTGGCGGGCCCGGCGCTGGTCTGTTTGAGATTGCTGCTATGGCTGCTTTGACTACATGTACTGTAGGCGGCTTGATTCCGCATGCTAGACATGGCGGTATGGGCGTGCGGGAGGCAAGCGCGGGATCGAAATTGGATGGAACCGGGTTCGAGAAGGAACATATGGGACACACCCACGTTGCGCTTGCCGGAGGTGGCGGTGCGGGACTGCTATGTCGTGGGGGAGTTGATGACGATGATGCGACTCGTGGATTCGGGGGTATAGGCGAGCCACGCGACAGCTGCTTCAGGGGCTTGGGATAAAGTGTGATCTTGGGTGACGACTTGAGGAAGCCAGCCTATGTGCAGTCAGCGTTGTGTGCTTGTCCTTTGCACATGTGCCGGTGCATACATAGAACTCTGGTTTCTCGACATCCTTGAGGAAGATGGCGACGGAGTTCTTGCGTGGCTCGCTATGGTCAACGTAGCAGACACGATGTGAAGTCAAGTATGACTGGCCATTCTGGTACTGGGGAATCTTGAACTTCCTATGCGGTTGATTAGCAGCGGATAGCAACTGTCGCGAACATGCGCGTACCCCTCATAAAGCCCGACGGCGTCTTGGACGAAAAGGAGCGTCTCCTCCGGCAGGAGCGACGGGCGCAGTGCGGTAGTGAGGTCGAGCTGATGCAAGAACATTCAGACCATCTGCAAGTAAAGATATGCGAGGTGCAGCCATCGCATTGGATCGAGTCGACGATGCCCGATTCCGCATGCATTCACCGAGCCCAGCCATCGTCATTGGCCAGAAGCTAGCATGCTTACGGTTAGCACAGCGCTAGTCATCGCCAAGGAAGGCGCGATGCAAATCAGTTGAGCGGGCCGTCGCTTCACCCTCACCTCCACACCGCGACACAATAGACCTGTCCCGCGCGCGCGCCATCTCTCGCACATCTCTCTTGTCCATTTGCAACTACTCACCCAACAGCCAACTCCATTCTCGCTTTTTCTGCCTTGCTTGCCTGCTTATGTCTTTGCCCTCGGCTACTGTAGCGTGGTCCCGGCCAATGCAGTCACCCGCCTATAACACAGTCAATCCACGCACCACCCTCCAAGTCGCGCCCGCGCCTGTTAGTCTTCACACTCATACAAGAGAACCAGCCCACGCTCACACACGGCAGCAGTCAGCTATGGCTCCCGAAGCACCCAAGAAGAAGGTCGAGTGGCCTCCAGCCGTTCGCGAGTACGTGAGGCGAGCTTTCGATCCGCAGAACGCCATCCCAGGCATCTCCCAAGCAGACATGCAGGCACGATTGAAGACAACCATCGGCTGGTTTGCTGAGCGCAACTCGCACGACACAGTTCATTGGCCCACATTTCCTCTTCCTCAGGAGCTTCTTCTTGAGGAGCGACGGGCGGCGGCCATGGGAATGCCTACCACTGCCGTTGCCAACGGCATGCACCCTGCATACATGAATGGCTCAGTCACACACACTAACCAATCTCCACCCCAATCAAAGAAGCGCAATGCTCATGAAGCTGAGGAGTCGCAAGTCGAACAAACACAAGCCAATGTCCCGCCATGGCGCAAAACTAACCTAGCATCTCGCATGACTTTTAGCGACGGACACAATGAGAAGCGCCAGAAGAAGAACGTCCTCGCGGATGCCGCAAGTAAGTTTGACCAGGCTGAGCTTGACAAGCGACGACAGCGCTTTCAACTCGGCCACAACGGTACCAAGACGACTCCCCCTTGGGGCTCGCCACGGAAGGACGAAGACGACATGCCTACTGGACCTGTTGTTGGAACGAACGAGAATCTCGAGAAGAGCTACTTCCGCCTTACCGCTCCGCCCAAGGCTGAAACCGTTCGACCGCTCCACGTGCTCAAGAAGACCTTGGCCATGCTAGTGGAAAAGTGGAAAGCGGACAAGAACTACAACTACATCTGTAACCAATTCAAATCGCTCCGTCAGGACCTCACTGTCCAACACATCAAGAACGCCTTCACTGTCAAGGTGTACGAGATTCACGCCCGGATATCACTAGAGAAGGGAGATTTGGGTGAGTATAACCAGTGCCAGACGCAGTTGAAGGCACTTTATGCGCTGAATTTGGGAGGCAATCCGGCCGAGTTCAAGGCATATCGCATTCTCTACTTCGTATATACGTGCAACAAGACCGACATGAACGACATGTTGGCAGAATTAACCCTCGCAGACAAATCTCACGAATGGATCAAGCATGCTCTTGATGTTCGATCTTCGCTGGCTCTTGGCAATTACCATAAGTTCTTCAGACTGTATCTCGAAGCACAAAACATGGGCGCTTATCTCATGGACATGTTCGTCGAGCGTGAGCGCCTCAACGCTCTAGCTAATATGTCCAGAGGGTATGTATACGTACTTGACTCTACGCCGGTCATACACTAACAAGCTGCAGATACGTAAATGTCACACTCCGTTTCCTCACTGACGAACTTGGTTTCGACAATGATGAGATATGCCGTGAATTCCTCGAAACGCACGGTGCGCAAAACGTCATTGAAGACAAAGGCGATCGTCAGTACCGCGTCAGGATCAGAGAAGCCGCATCACAGTTCGAAAGCCTCCGTGCTGCCGCATTCAGCAAAGTAGACATCAAGGGCCAAATATGAGTCGACCTCCGAGCAAGCAGCACCTTCCTTTCATCTTCTCCAGTATCTTATTACGATTTCGAATTTTCAATTGCACTAATCCTCTACGATACCCTGCGTCACCTGGCACGTCACTCATGTCTCGAGCCACGACCCCCCGGTGTTTAACGCTGCTTCTCTCGATGACAGTAGACGGAACGTGGGGCACCCGCTTGATGCGTTGGATGCGCGGAATCTTCTAGTTTTCTTCTCATACATGCAATGTCTCAGATGTTGCTCATCACTAGCCAAAATGGGTTCTTTCGAGCTTTTGGTACGTCATGGACATGGATGAAAAAGTGGACTGGAAAACAAAATGGGGTAGAGTGGAGTTGGCCTAGATGGCCATGTAGGATTCGAGCTGGCTGCTCGATGGTGGTGGTCCCTGTGTCTCAGAGCATTCGGCTCGGGTATGTCCGACTGCACGTGGGGTCGGCAAGACCGGCATCACGGCAGTATGTCCCACGGACCTGCAAAGATTGAGCAACAATGTGGCCATAGCACTGATCGTGAGGTGTTGGCTGCCGCGTTTTCGATTGTCCATTGTTTGGGCCATGGCTGGGTGTGTTCCTTTGTGAATGCCAGCCGGGGCGGCTTGACTGAGCCAATGAGATGACGGAAGAGGGCATAGAGGGTTTGATTGGATAGGGCGTAGTTCTTCAGTGGAGGTTGGCGCTAGTGATATCCACTCAGAGGATGCAGGCGTTCGTGTAGTCGTCAATGCATTGGTTCATGGAGTTTGCGTTGAGCATGTGAAGCGCGTTGTGAAATTGTACGGGATAGTTGCTAGACCCTGGGGTGAGAAATGTTTCATTCGGGCCGCGTCAAGCATTAACCATGGGAAGAAGATTTGAACAACGCTATCTATGACAGACAGGAGGAGAGTGTTGGGTTTAGGTTTGCATGTGGAAATGATGGCATGGTCAATGTAGGCATTAGCATCGTCTCATAGTAGGGCTCGTGATTGGCTGCAAGGGTATGAAAGCAACGCGGAAGTTGGGGGGGCTGCGGGTGACAGACGCGAATTGTGGTGGACCTGCAGCTAGACGTTTGGCAGGCTGAAGCTCCACCTGGTCGGGCATATTTGTATCTTGGTAGACACTGCACATTCCGGGTCAGCGTTTGGAGTCATTACGGAAGAACAAAGGGGAAGCGGATCTGGCGCGTTCCTTTGCCCGCATCTCGTTTGTTCCGAGGCGTGCCAGGAGCGTCGCCGCCCTAAAGTGTGACCCGAGAAGAGGGCCACAGAGGTCCAGGAAGCAATCGCCAAGTGGTGTGCAGTAGCTGGGATCCCTCGCAGCGTGAGAGCACCCACTCATTTCTTGTTCCCCGTAGTGACTGCGCCTCTTGCAGTACCTGACGACGACGAGTATCGCCGCCCACCTAAGTAGCCTCACCATCGTCTCTGGAGGGCCGGTGCACGCTTCAAACTCAGCTTCAATCCGCCGCGTACTCGCCCCCGCACGCACACGCCGCATTCCCGGTCGACAGTCATAGTAGCAACACACCCCGAGCGATCACATCCAACCCTCGACCTCCTGATCTCTCCCTACACCGGGACGTTCGCTGCGCAAAGTCGCGTTCACGCTGCACGATGAAGGTGCGTTGCTTTGCTTTTGCCGCCACCCACGCCGCTGCGCCGGTCGAGTCACGCTCCGCATACGTACGTACTAACGGTGTTGCTTTAGTTCCGCAGGAGTATGAAGAGTGAGAAGGACAACCGCCCGCACCACATTTCAATTCCACCCAAGGACGCTATAGCCATTGTCCCGCCAAAAAAGGTACGTAGATCAACGTCGGGGCCCAAGCACCCCACTTCTGCTTCTTCTACGAGGCGTGAGCGCACAAGGACGGGGCAGTCGTTCGCTCTTGGACGCACCACGCGCATTGCGTGAGTGCCTACATGTGGGCGGCACACTTGCGCCCGAGTCGAACAACATTGCACGTCGCTCCATGTCGCCATATCATGATGCGCGCGCCCCCGGCACCCGCTTCCCGATGGGGCAGATGAGCGCGAAGCTAACAGCCATCTCATTTCAGGTCATAAAAGCGCTTTACGACTACAAGCCCGCCGACCCCAGCCCAAACTCTGGCTTCCTGGCCTTTTCACAGGGCGACTTTCTGCACGTCGTCGGCCGCGAAGACGACAGCGAGTGGTACGAGGCCTGCAATCCGCTGCACGGCACGCGTGGACTGGTACCCGTTTCCTACTTTGAGGGCGTAGGCAAGACTGTGCGCGACAGTGGTGGCTCTGCGCCGCGCTCCTCCACACCGCATCAGCAACAACAGCAGCCCCACGACTCGGGCTACCAAGAACGCATCACGAGCCCCCAACCCTCGGCCCAGGACATCATGACACAGCAGATGCGCATGTCGCGCGGAGGAGGGCGTGGCGCCATGGTCTACGGCATCGTCATCTACGACTTCAAGGCAGAGCGGCCCGACGAGCTCGAGGCCAAGGAGGGCGAGGCCATTATCGTCATTGCACAGTCCAATCCCGAGTGGTTCGTTGCAAAGCCGATAACGCGACTCGGCGGTCCTGGCCTCATACCCGTTTCCTTCATCGAGATCCGCGACATGACGACGGGCCAGGCAGTCGCCGACACACAGGCAGCAGTCACGGCCGCGGGCGTGCCCAAGGTCGAAGAGTGGAAAAAGATGGCAGCAGACTACAAGAATGGCAGCATACCGCTTGGAAAGCTTGAGACAAATTCAGGACAGTCGCTGCAACAAGGCATGGAGCGCATGAGCATCAGGAGCAACGGAGGGCACAACAAGGCCGGCTCGGTAAGCTGTCTGACGCCGGGCGCACCCATCTCGGCTGACAATATACAGGTCTCTCACTCGCGCAACGGTTCCACGGCGCAACCACGAAACCAATACCGCACATCCGACAACTTGCTTGCACCCATCAAGGCATGCGTGCCACGCTACTGCTTTGCCGACGACATCTTCTGGTTCATTATAGAGTGCCAGATGGAGGATGGCCGACACTGGGAGTTGCAGCGGCTGTACCAGGACTTTTACGACCTGCAGATACAACTGATAGCGACATATCCAGTCGAGGCAGGCACGAGTGGCTCAGGCGAGCGAACACTACCCTTCATGCCTGGGCCCGTCACCTACGTAACGGACAACATCTCCAACGGGCGCCGCGCCAACCTCGACGAATACATCAAGAACCTCCTCAAGCTAGGACCACACATCACACAAGGTCACCTTGTCAAAGGTTTCTTCGCACCAAGACAGGGCGACTACGAGATAGACCCGGATATTGTCGCTGCTGAAGAGTATCGTCTGTCACAGCAATCACACCAGTCATCGAACCCTTCACAAGGAACGAGCAGACAATCATCTGCAGATCAACTGCAAGCCACAACACCTGTCACACCTTACTCAACTGGCTCCAACTACCCCTCCCACCAGCGCGGCCAGTCAACCGCCTCGCAAGCATACTCGTCAAACCTCAACCCACCGCCCATGACCCACAACCACTCCTCTACCTCCACAGCCACCAGCACAGGCACATCCTCTGCCCTCAAGATTAAAGTATGGTTCGAAGAAGATAACTGCGTCGTCATCCGTATGCCTATTTCGCTCAAGTTCATCGACCTCTACAATAAGCTTGTTGAGAGAAGGAAAATGGAGCGGCCAGGCGAGGAAGAGGAGGAGTTGATTGTTGAGTACAAAGATGAACAGGACAATTATTTTTACCCCATCGAGAATGACGAGGATCTCCAGATCGCGGTTGAGAGGAATCCCAAGCTGACGCTCAGTGTTACCACGAGGCGGTAATGGTTGAGCAACGATACAGGCTATCTTCACCCCGCTCAACCTCATTTCACTTCGCTTCTATTCATCGCGCTTTTCTTCTTCTTTTATGAGAACTTTGTTCTCCCTGTGGCTACTGTCTGTGGCTACCTTCTCTATTCCCCACTTTTGGCGTTGCAAAAGGATTCATAGCTTCCGAGAGCGATCTGACTGGCGTTGTTGGGCGTTCAGCGGAGCAATGAGTGCATGACGGCAGGCGGGTTCTTTTTTTTGGGTTGCGTCTGAGTTGGATCTACTACGGGATGTTTGACATGTTGCAACGGGGTGTTGGGTGCTTGATTATGTCACGGAGGATTCTAGATGATATACACAATGGGGCTCAATACGGGGGCTGAGGGGGGAACATGACGGGGAAGTGAGTTGAGGGTAGGCAAAATGAGAGATATCTTGCGTACATCTTACCTTTTGTTCATCCAGGCCTTGCTTTCTACTGAAATGCTTTTTATATGTTTAAGCTAATCATCGGGATTTTCCAGATGCCGACGCGAGCCTCACGTATGTCGATTAGTATGCGACCACACTAGAGCGCAACGTGAGCGGAAGTATAGAGACAGGTCAAGGCGGCTTTTTTCTTACAAATCAACTAATATGTCTTTGACGTGTTCTCCTCCTCGACAAAGTTCCAGAGCTGTATGTTTTCCAAGCACAAAAATTTGATTGACACCTAGGTAGACTCAGGTGCACATTCGTACTGTTGTTCCAGAAACTTTGATGCTTACGTACCAAGGAACATCCTTTATACCACCGAACAATAGTAAGCGCTACCTGAATCGCGTACTTTCAGATGTACCTGTACCTAAATCGACATCCATTGAAAAGCAAACGGGGAGAACACTTTGAGCCTAATACTACTTTCCTTAGATGAGAGATATTACATTATCTCACATCGTAGTATCAGTCTACTTCATGTTTTCCGTTTACGTCCATTGTGCGTGTATTACGCCATTCATCCATACCGTGCTTCGGAACCATAATCAAAACTCTAAAGTGCATCTTTCCTATACATACACTCCCCTCTCGTGCACACCTTTTATGGCCACGAAACGTTACCATCTGTCCCAACAATCACCGTCCTCGGCGCATGTGCCATGAATAAATGCTCGTCCTCCTCGATCTTGGCCTTCGCTGCCGGCTGGCCGATAATGTTTAGAAATGTCAGCGCATGCGCCTGGTCTCTGAACTCCATGGTCGCCATGCTGTTCCAATCGACAGGATAACTGGCGTTTACAAAGGCGGGATTCCCGCCAAAGTAGTGTCGCGTGTGCACGGCGGGAAAGTTTGGGCCGGTGAGCGACTTGACGAGTGGAATGTGCACGTTGTCGTAGTGGTCGGCGTATTGGGTCAGGTTGAGGCCAGGAAGCATGGTACCGAAGACGAGGGCGGTGAAGTAAGGGAGCACCATCTTGGATGAATTCACCAATCTGTGAGAGGTTGGTAACGAGTAGTATGAAATGCGAATAGGATAAGTGTATTTATATTTGAGGCTCAGAGTGTGGCTAGAAGGCTGGGAGATGAATGCTGTCTAGGTTGGTACGCTCTTATATATCTAGCCCCGGAGGTAATCACTCCAGGGTATCATTTGCAGTCACAAAAAGGATGAAATCAATTGAATGGCCTGTTGGTTCTAACTGCCACAAGCGTACGGCGTTCAGCTAGTAGGCCTAATTTGCCGTGGCTATGTCGCTTTAGGGATGGATCGCGAAGCGAGGACTTTTATCACGAGAACCAATTCACCTATATCTAACGGTTGCAATTGGTGGATTTGCGTAAGGGAACTCAAGCAAGCAAGGGTCGAGAATTCGTTTTGAGTTTCTTTGTTCTAACGATCATGGTCCTTCAGCCTACGGGAAACTGGGATCTAGAATAGGTATGACAGTTGGGAGACCACCCCTGCGTCGAGAAACGGGCAACCAATCAGAATATATTCTACAAGCCGCCACAACTGAGCACATACGACCATAGGACACTGAAAATTAGTTCTCCTGCCCGACCCGCCGTCTGTCGTGGTACCGTTTTGAGGATGCTGTGGTGCGCCTTCCTGTTTACCACCTGCCGCCATTGCCATCACGTGACAATCTGTCGGCGTTCTCCTTGAAGCGCCCGCAGTCACGAACGTGCTCCGATAATGATCGCACATAAGATGTCGTCCGTCGGATCAAGCGTCATGTATCCAATGATGCTGAGTAGCGTCACACCAGCAACGCAGTGTCAGGCTAGAAGTCGTTGTCTGCGCGCTCCTTCCCCGCGTGGACGGCCTGGCAAAGTATCCGGTGCTTTCCGCAGCCACCTCCACATTCTACCCCGCAAAAGCAGACATCGAAACGGGACAGCCGGGCCTATTCAAGAACACTTAAGTTTCCGTTGCTTTCCTTGGAGTCGTTGCGATGCTGAGTGTTACGAATATTCGCTATGGACCACGACCGAAGCAACCCTGGACCGATTGGAAGAAACAGGCCAGGTGATCAAGCCGAACCACAGTATCATCGAGCATACAAAGGTGGGAACTATACGAAGGGTTTACACACGTTCGGGGCTAACTTGTGACAAGCATGCATCTCCTGCCGGAACAAGAAGGCAAAATGCAGGATCACGGCGGAGGAGTATGCCGCTGGGCTACCATGCGCTAAGTGTCGCAGAGAGATGCGCCCTTGCACATATACCGTGACAAGACACGGCCCAAGACGGCAGAGGCAGAGCGTCAGCCAGAGCCAGGATGGCGATGAAGATAGTATAGACCTAGGCACGCACAGTGGCGCCGTGCCAGATGTGCATGCTTTACCAGCGACTGCTGTACAGCGCGACGATGCAGGTGATATTTCTCAAGGTTCCATCAGTGCTGACTTGAACAATACTATGATGACCACCGTCGTCTCAAACGGCAACGACGCTTTGAATCTGCTCTTCGAGGCGGCCCAACGCGAAGAAAGAGAAGTCAATGGTGCACGAGTGCCGGTGCCTATTGAACAGCACGCTACTAACGCAGCTTCTACACCACTTTCATCCGTTGCCAATATGAGTTCCAACATGTTGCCGGACCTTTCAAATGAAGTCACTGACACCTGGAACGCTTATCGCTTTGTGCGTATGGGGTGGCTATCAGCTCCGGAGATCGTATGGTACTTGGACATGTGAGATCACCCAGCCTCGATCTGGCGGAGCTAAATGCTAATACAATATGTAGGTTCTTCAAGAACGTTGCACCGTTGTGTCCGATTTTGGATGAGTGTGAGTTCCTCCGCTTCGGCCCGCCGCTCATTCTGTGAAGCATAGCTCACAGACATCAAGTCTACGCAGAGCGGTCGAACCACTACCTGTTAGTGACGCATGAACCAGTCCTCACTTGTATGATACTGGTCATATCTTCTCGCTACCACACTTTGCCTACTATCGGAGGGCATTCAAGAGGCTATTTGATCCACCAGAGATTATGGGATCACTTCCAGCACCTACTTATGCGCCTCGTATTGGGATTGGAGAAATACTCCAAGGCCAAGACGCGGACGCTGGGTACCATTGAGGCCCTGCTGTTGTTGACGGACTGGCATCCTCGAGCACTGTACGCGCCTCCACCTAGTGACGGCTGGGATTCAGATATCTTGTTCACTGTGAAAGATCGACGTGATCAGGACGGGAGCACAGTTGACAGCCCTTCCAGGACACGATGGCGAGAGGACGTGATCGAACCGGCCAACAGATCAGACCGGATGTGTTGGATGGTGCTCAGTTGCGCATTATCTCTTGGCAATGAACTCGGCATATTTGACGAACAAGACGAGCATGATAGCACAAATACGAGGTTAGCGCAATGCGAGCGTCGAGTCGCGCAACAAAAGACTTGGCTGGCCAAACTCTTGTATGTTTACCAGGAGCAGCTCTCTTCACGACTTGGCCGCCGATCAATGATGACACCTAGCAACAGCCACTCGGCGGTGTACTCGGATACTTCTCAAGCAGGCAGCGACATACAAAGACGCGCATGGACTCCGTTTCTCACTGCGTGGACACGATTGACTAAAATCGTGAGGTCTATATCAGATTTGCTCTTCCCCAACCCTACCACGACATCTCAGATCATCCGCAGCGGTCGCTATATCAGCATGACAGAGCATATCCAGACCTTACTCACCGCCTGGTCGAAAGACCATGATGACACCCTCTGTGAGTGCTAACCGATATCATTTCTCATCTCGCATTGCTGACAACAGGCCACACAGCAAGTGATACGTACCTCAGCAGTCTCCTCGTCCTCGAGTATGAGAGTACACGGATGCACACGTATTCTCTAGGACTTCAAGCCATTTTGTTTCGCACCCTGGCTGAATCGAGCAGCGCTGTCTCAGGTTCTGCGTCATTTCAGCTTACGCCCACCGATTTTGCGCACGTGCAGGAAGTCATCAATAGCACGCTGAATACACTCAAGATAGCTATTAAGCTGTATGACCTGGGTTTCCTACGGTTTTGCACGATAAGGACCTTCCTGCACATCACGACTGCTTCCATATTTCTCCTGAAAGGCCTTGGATTGGGGGTCAGCCCGGCTAGGTTGCAAGGTGCACTAGAGGTCCTGACGCAAGTCATAGTGGCGCTGAAGAACAGCAATCCAGACGACCTCCATCTGGGCGGCCGTTATTCGATGCTCCTCGAGATGCACATGACAAGGCTACAGGAGCATTTTGTGCCCTCGACTCGGCCGCACAACATCACACCTCCGAATTTTGATCTTTCTCGGTTCCCGGGCCTCGCTGCCTCGCTGGAGGCGAATCATTTCGAACTCGTGGATTTCCAGCAAGTGCCAGAAATCGATACGTCAGATGCAAATTGGCTCAGCTTGCCACTCGACTCAAGTCTCATGTCATTTGGCATGGACAACTTTCAAGGTCTACAGTGCTTGGGTGATGACACCTTGGACTTCATATGGAATTTAGGAATGTAGCTGTTTTCGACAATCAAGCCCAATCTCACCTTTGGAAGTCGAGCAGCAATCGATAAGCTTGACTGGAGCTCTTCAAATAGACAATGAAGGCCAAACTTCTTGCATACGAGATGCCTATTCTAGCAGTGAACACGATGTCAGAACAAACACATGCTGGTAGCAGCGAGATCGGCCGATATCGCGCTCATGGCCAGGAAGCCTAAGTGAGATAACGGAACTTGACGTTCTTGTCTCCGCTATCAGTCACATTCACGTGCGCGTCCGTGTCTACCTCGCCGTACAAGCGATCGCGCTTGCGGTTCTCGATTTCTAGCTTCTGGTGCAGACCAAGAGCTAAGACCACCGCTAACCCACTGAAAGCACATCCAACAGCGCAACCTGTAACGTAGAATGGCCTGCGAGGTCAAGTCAGTGCGTCTGCGAACGTGAGCAAAAAAGAAAAAAGATATCTCACCCGTCACGAGATGGGAACAGAGTGCTGCTGACGAAAGACGAGCACTGTCCAAACGTCGCCAGGATACCGAGACCCGCGCCTCTCTTCGAATCGCCACCCTGATTGTTGAGCAGCCAGGTAATGTTGATGGCCAACGCAGGGAAGATGCCGCATGTCGCGAGGTAGATGGCCGCGTAATGAGGTCCTGTCTTGGTCTCGTCTTGAATCGCTGCCAACATCAGGTAGCCCACGGTACCCATGGTTGCAAAACCAGCGACAAACCAACCTCGCTTGCCAAACCTGTCAGAGCCCCAGGCAGCGAACATACAGCACAAGAAGGCGAGAAAGTAGGCAGGCGCTGTCAAGCCTTGTGCGTTGACCGAACTGTAGCCCATATCGCGGACGATCGTCGGCAAGAAGTTCGACAAAGCAGCGAATGAGTAGTTGCAGCAGAAGTGTATCGTGGCATGAACCCAGTTCTGGTAGTCTGTCAAGCCAGCAAAGACCTGCGTCCAGCTCACTTTCGACTTCTCTGTCCGATCAACAGTGGCAAGTCGCTGACGAGCCTGCAGCTTCTCTTCGTCGGTCAAGAAGTGCGCGGTATCTGGAGAATCGGGAAGACAGCAATAGACAAGAACTGCGCATAATACGGTTGGCGCTCCCTCTAAGGCCCAAATCAGCAACCGTGCTCACGTGGGGCCTGAATAATACCACATACCAATCAGGAAGAGCAGTCGCCATGGAGCTATCGATGCCTTGATATGGAGGATGCCGTACGCCAGCGATGAAGCGAAACAGTTCGCTAATGGCGACATGCCTGTCAGGAGAGCCACACGCTTGCCTAACTCCTGGCGTTGGTAGAAGAGCGATAGAAAGTACGGTGCACCAGCTCCGAAAGCTGCTTCGAAGAACCCTAAGAACGCGCGAGCGGTCATGAGACCAGCTTTGTTGTGAGAGGCGCCAGTCAACATGGCTGCAGCACCCCAACTTTTCCAGCGTCAGCACAGAGGGCGACATCGAGGAGCACAAACGAACTTACAGAAAGCATAACGCAGCAACATAGACGTGCGCCGGCAGTATCTTCCAAAACAGTTGGGTCCACTCGAACAGCACGTAGGAGATGTAGAAGACCTGGAGGACCCACACCCAGTCGTTGTCAGAGAGATGGAGGTCCTTTAGGATCCCGGCAGTCTTCGCATTTCCGATATTGCCTCGATCAAGATACGAAAGGACATACAGGAGGCACACGATTGACAGCATTTTTTTGTCGAACTGTCAAATCTGATTAGTGGGGATTACAGAGGTTGTCGGGGGATAATACCTTGCGACGGATGCGAGCCTGGACGTCCTCAGCTACTGGCACTATGTGCGCCTCCACCTTGGTTTCGGCCGTTTCCATGTACTCGATTGTTTGAATGTCTGGCTTGCCTTGTTCAATGTCTGCCATTGTCAAGCTTCTTCGAGGGCGATCGTGCAAAGGTGAAGTCAATTTGGCTAGATTGGGTAATGAAGCCGGATGATGGATGTAGATGAGATGAACATCGAACGACTTTTAACCTCCGCTGTCGCATTGCGGAGTACATCGACTAGGAGTCTGATAAACGAGGTTCCCCGGATTTACCCCAGGTTAGGGTCGGAAAGTTGGACTATCCGTCGCTTTCCATCCGGCGAGGCGAGTCTAGCCTGTCGAGGTTTCTCCGCATAAAGTATCCTTATCATTCCGGTCAACGTAACGAAGATCGCGGAAAAGCTGCCGTGGTCACCAAAAAAGAAATACATAAATTGTGAAGGGACCTTTTCTCTAAAGACACACACAGTACTCGAAATCAATCACGCAAGGTCATATTCTACCAATCCCGCAATATGTCGAAGTCCATCGTTGGAACCGTTCCCTACCCTGTACGTACCTTTACAAGTCATGAACAAAGCCATAGCAGAAGCACTGACCCTCGCAAAAGTTTAGGTTCGATCAGAAAGCGACCACTAAGTCTGGCAAGCCTGGGCAAATCAGTGATGAGAGCATCACGCTTCCCAATGTCCGCGGTCGCATCCCATCTCTCCAGGCATCTCGCCTGCGCACAATGATGCTCGAAGCCTACCGCGACCCATCCAAGATCCTCGCACACGCCTGCAGCTACGATGGCCTATCTTCTCGTCTTGTTGAGGAAGCCGGCTTTCCCATGATTTTCCTCGCCGGTTACCCTTGTGCAAGCTCTTACGGACTACCCGACACAGGCTACATTGCTATGGCAGAAATGTGCGACAAGATCCAGGAGGCGGTGCGACAGGTGACGGTGCCAGTCATGGCCGATGCAGATACAGGATACGGTAGCCCTATGAACGTCAAGCGCACAGTGCAGTGCTTTGCCGAAGCTGGCGCAGCTGGCATTATGATTGAGGACCAGACTTGGCCGAAGAGTATGTTGTTTCCAATTTGCTCCTAGACAACTGACCGACTCGGTAGGGTGTGGCCACACTAAGGGAAAGGCTGTTGTCTCACGAGGCGAGGCTTTTGCGCGTGTGCAGGCTGCCTGTGATGCTCGAAATGAGGGCAAGGATATATTCGTACTTGCGCGCACTGACGCACTCATCCTTGGCTGGGACGAGGCTATGACACGTGCCCGGGAGTTCAAGCGTATCGGTGTCGATGCCGTCTTCGTTGAAGCCCTGCCTGATCGTCAGGCCATGAGCAAGTGCGTTGAGGAACTAGACATGCCAGTCTTTGCAAACAGTGAGTCACTCTCAGCATTCAGAAAAGAGTAACAACTGATTATTATCGTTAGTCATCGAGGGCGGCTTGACGCAGAACTTGTCCGCTAAGGATCTTGCCAACCTCGGATTCTGTGCTGTGGCTTATCCGTGGACACTCGTTGCCGCGAAGTTGAAGAGCATCCGTGAGACTTTGGAGGCGCTAAAGAAGAGCATGACTGAAGGCGCTCCACCCATGATACTGTCATACTCTGAGGTTTGTGAGGGCGTGGGCTTTAATCGGTATTGGGCAAGTTCTCTCTTCCCTCGTATATGACGAAGCTAATGTTGTACAGGATGAGGAGGAACGATACAAATACAGTGAAGATGGACTCATAAATGTTGCAGCTGCCGCAAACGGACGCAATGGCTTGAATGGACATTAATAGGACTCCGCATGTTCGAGAGATGGGTATTAGTCAAGTAATCCATTGTCTTCGAAAAATGACTGCCCCACATGTCGATGCTTGTTAGACGGCTTATAGGAACTAGAGAAGAACGATATGTTTCCTTCTTGCTGAGTTTCCCAGTAGCTATACACACCTGAACCTGCCTACAAGTGCTTTCACATACTCTATTCACAGCATCGATTTATAAGTAGACAATACTGCGATAGACGATTAGCTATGTTTCTGTCTTGCCTTTAAGTAGTTAAAAGCTGAAAGCGTTGGCTCGCGTTTTGTTATCTTAACCACTCAATAGTCAACATAATAATCATGCGTCGCTGTTGCAGGAGCGTAAGCTGTAGTAAGGAATTGGTATCTCAGCAGTAGTATCTCAAGGCTACTAGGAGCTTGAGCGCCATTCTATATAGGATTCCTTAGTAGTATGATCTGTTTTCACCAAATCTACTGTGCAGTCCCACTACTTGTAGCTCTGGACCAGATGTAGGCCATTGCCGCCGAAAAGGACGTACTGTTCTATCGCCAGATGCTGATGCAACTAGCTGTCCGTCAGGCAAGAAGGACACCGCCCAAACAAAGGCAGAATCTATGTGGTAATCAGGCAGGAGAGAATAAGACCTTCTAATACACAATAGAGAATTAGCACTTTGCTAACGTAGCAGTTTGCATTCATCAGCTACCTTATCGTTAGGCGCCTAAGGGGGTGCACCAGTACGCAGCAGGCATTACGCGCTAACGAAAGCTATATATGCATAGCGTGCTTGTTGGCGCGTATTGTCTGCTGCACATCAGCCTAACTGTTAGAGGCGTCTAGGGATGACGCAGCTACAAATTTAGTAACTCCGGATTTCTGTTTCCTGGTTCCGGATACCTACTTACCGTAAACAGACAATTTAAGGGCATTTGTGGCAACTGGACAGGAGACAATAAGGCTTCCCGTCCGCTTAGCTATATACAAGCAGTGTACCGGCGGATTAGTAGTTAGGTAGGTGACCACTAGCGAATCCCCGCTGTTGTATGTTTTTGTATACCGTTTTTTTTTTGTTTTTGCGTCGTGTTTCGTGTTCATGTATGAATGAACCTGCAAAGTACTTCGCGACTCTTCGTCCCGTCTCCAAAGAAGGAACGCGCAAGGCTTTTGATCGAGGTCATGTTTTTCTAGTATTGATTGAACTGCAAGCTAACCAAGTAGTCGTCTGAACTTATCTGCGGCGTGGAAATAGTTTGATGGAAAGATCGACTCCACCATCGGGCATATTCGCAAATTCCAAGCCTGCACTACAGCCCACGATCTTGAAGTTCCTCCCTACAAGGCAAACTCCGATCTTTAGTTCAACTGAACCTGTCTCAGCGTGTCAAGAAATTGAATTACGCTTCTGTGCAAATGATCTCAGCTGCCTTCTCGGCAAAAGCGTAGACGGCAGTCAAGATGTTCCCCCGTGGTACGATTGGCAACACACTTGCATCGCAGATCCGCACATTCTTTGTTCCATATACTCTTAGCCGCTGGTCAACCACACCCCCTAGATCTTCTCTCATCAGTGAACATGTGCCGCACGGATGGTAGTTGGTTGCTGAATTGATTGGGAGAATTCCTTTCGCATCCTCAAGTGACGATATCGGGTGGGGAAAGCTTCGAGGAAGCCGGGTTCCCTTCGGCTTTAGCATGGCAGCAAAGGTAGGTTGCTGGAAGAGTCTCTCGATGAGCCGCAAGTGACGAGCCAGTATCTCTGTATCAAGGGGATGAGAGAGGTAATTGAACTTGATGTCTGGCTGATGCGAAGGATCAGAGGCGATATGGCAGCTTCCACGTGAGAAAGGATGGGCCAACATGGCAACGACAGTTACGTAGTTGCCATCAACGACAGACGGCGTGCCTTTAGGAAGTGAATCAGCGTCTCTATGGCGCTGTAAGCGCAGCATGAAGCTTGTGGCTGTCGCTTCGCTGGGGCTTTCAACCGCCTTTTGGATGATGGAATACTGGGCTTTCAGACTCGGGTTACTCTCTTTTTCTACCCAATGCTCAACTATCTCGACGAGCTCCTGCGTCTCAGACGGGGTTTCCAGAATCTGCAGCGGTGTGAAGGCAAAACTATATGCTCCCCCTTCCGATAATCGACCAGTGTGACTTCTTTCATATTCTTCTAATGCAGCCTTCCGCAACTCGGGATTTCGTAGTACTTCGTCATGAGTAGGGATGTCGTCTTGAGTTTCGCAGGAAAGCCCGGCATTCAGGTGATCCTGCAAATTTTCACCAACTCCTGGAAGCTCGTACAGAACCGGGATGTTTGCGCCTGCGAGTACTTTTCTGGATCCGATACCTGATCGTTCCAAAATGGCAGGAGATTCAAATACTCCCGCGCAGAGGATGATTTCTCGACCACCGACAAAACGCTCCTCCCCTTTGTATGTGTAATGAACACCTCTAGCATTGAGTTTCTTGTCGGCGATCAAAGCATCATCAAACGCAACCTTATCGACCTTGATGCCAGTCATCAATGTTATATTGCCACGTTCCAAGGCTGGCTCTAGGAATGCAGTGCCTGCATGGCTTCGCTCGCCTTTTGAAGAGTCAATCGCATTTGTGACTGTGACGGCTCCGGGAGAGCTCTCAGTGAACCCCGAAGTATCTGTCGAATGGCCGAGCTCCTCAAAAGCTTTCAGCCAGTGAGATTGAAGGAGACCCATGGTGCGCGGGTATGATGTCTGCACACGATCCACATCGTCATTGACTCTAGGCCTGGATTGTTCTGCCTGCCATCGGCTGTAGCAACCTCTCATGCCCTGCGAGCTCCATTCTTCGCTGCCCGGACCCGATAAAAGCTCTTCCGCGATACGATCATGCCACTCATGATTTGGAAAAACGACACTGTGACTATTGATTGCACTGCTACCACCCACCAACTTCCCTCTCGGATGCTTCACCCTCCTGTTGTTCAAGCCCGGCTCAGGCGCGGAAGAATATTGCCAATCGTAGGCAGGGTCCGACATCAGCGTCGTCGATAGACCAGGTGTTTGGACTTTAGGATCATCGCGAATATGTTCTCCCGCTTCTAGGACGAGAATTCGGTGATCGGGTAGCTGCTGCGAGAGACGTGACGCGATCAAACATGAGGCTGATCCAGCTCCAACCAGGATGAAGTCGTAGACCTCGGCGTTATCGTGAAGGCTTCTGCCCGGCATTGTTCAAACAAATGTGGTGAATGTTGCGGGACAGAAAGCTGGAGGCTGCGCAGCAGTTAAGGCTACCAAGCAGTGAGGCTAAGCAGCGCGCTACAGTGTTAGCGGCAGATAAGCTTCACAGTATACTAGCAAATTTAGGTAGGTGTAAGTAGTGACCAGCGAGTCTCGTGCGCGCCTTATCCTTGTGGCGGCCATTCAAGAGGAACTTAGGCGCTAGCACCGCTGCTTCAGCAGTAGCGCTTATGCAATGCTCGCTAACATACAAGGAAATAGCATTGAACACAATATCCGTCTTTGCATGTGTTCAATGGTGTTATGACCATGATTTTTTTTAAAACCTTCTCTTGTATCTGGGTGGACATTTGCAAAAGAATCTAGAGTGCCGAACGAAGGCAGGCCTAACGAGGAGAGCGTTTTTGACAGCTCGTCAAGACGTATCCGCAAGGTTAGGTATTTTAGCCGCTTTCAGTTCAGGCGTCCAGTATGAACCGCCGAGATTATGCATGTGAGGGGTTCGCATTTCCATCGAATATTTACAAGGCAAGCTGCAATCTAGATAGTCTCTCCATAGGGCGCACCCTCAAGTTTAAAACCACCCGGCTGCAACCTTTGGAAGACAGCAGTCGGGTCGTATTTCTTCGCAATGGACTTAAGCTTTGCCAGTTTCTCGTCTCCATAGCTCGGAATTACGTTCTGATACGGTCCAGCATAGTTGAGGTAAATGTATTTGGTGTACACATCTCGGTTCTTCGCCTCAACCTTGGCAGCTTCCATGAAATCCAGTGCAGCCTGGTTCAGCTGATTGTCTTTAGACGCATCATCCCAGACCATATAGAGTAGGGTGTGCATCAACGGGCCATCATCGGGAGAGAGACCGAGTGCGTTACCGCCCTTCTTGCTCATCTGTTCCATAGCCGGTATGGTGAAGGCCTGGAAGGTCAAAGAACCCTGGTTGGCCAAGGGACCTACGTCCTTTTGGTGGCGTGATTGTAGCCAGCCCATGAAGTCGCGATCGAGCTTGTATGTAGCCGCCCAGAAAGCGTAGCGGTGGCCACCAGGCATCTGATCAGTGAGCATAACGGTGTCGTTTGCCAACGTTCTGTTTAGAGTATTTGCTCGAATCGACGGAATATCAAGGTACTTCTTGAGGATAGCCGGTGGATTGGCCTCGTCAACAGGTTCGAGGTACTCCAATTGTATTTGTCCGGCTGCATTGCCGGCTGTCATAGCGAACGATAAAATCTGAGCCGATTTGGGATCTTCGGTAGCACTTTCAGCCATTGATGCAAAGGCATCGATAAGCGCAGGGTAATCAGGTGACATATGGACACGAGTCCCACCCCACATGGGCCCTTGAGGGATTGTCTCCAGCTCGAATCTAGTAACAACACCAAAGTTGTTGCCTCCTCCGCGAAGAGCCCAGTATAGATCGGGGAAAGCAGTCGGAGTGACTTTCAAAATGATGCCTGACGCAGTAACAACCTCGTAGGATGCGACATTGTCACAAGCGTATCCATAGATACTAGACTGGTGCGCAATGCCACCCCCAAGAACAAGGCCAAGGCCGACATCCGATGCGCGTCCACCGATGACAGCAAGGTTCTGCTCTCCAAGCTTAGAATAGACAGCTCCCCATCGATTTCCAGGTCCGATAAAAGCAGTCTCCTTGTTGCTGGAAAGAGCAATCTCGTTCATCGCCTCCAAAGTAACAGTTATGCCATCTTGGATGCTTGAAGCGCCAGGGAATGCGGTGTGTCCACCTCCCTTGACTGCGAACGGACACTGCGTAAGACGAGAGACTAATATCATGGTCGATACTTCGATCGATTTAGAAGGTCTGAAAACGCAGGCTGGGTCGACTGAGGCTGCCTGGGATGACCAATACGCGCTTGTGAACGCATCATAGGAACCTGATCCGCTAGAGAGGAGCTTGCTTCCGAATATGAGCTTTAGTGAGCTACACTGTCCAATGAATGAGCTGACATGTTCTAGCAGGGGGAAGTAGCAGATTTCTTACAGCCGCAGTACACGGACTAGAAAGCGAACGCTTCTCATTGAATGCAGCCAGGTCGGGGAGAGCGGAGACGTTGACACCGTTAGCGATAAGGGCTTCTGTAACGTTAAAGTCAGAAGGCTCAAAGGCGTTTTGTGAGGCCGCACAGGCAGCAAGAGCTCCAAACGACGCAAGGATAGAAGCCTTCATGCTGACTAGGGCTAAGTGTTCGCTGATCTAAAACTCGCGGCATTCCAGGGCTATTTATTTCATGTTGCAGAGGCTCAGACCAACTGTGGGATTCGGCAGACTTTCAGATCTCCTTCCTCTTTGCGACTCGAAGGGCGTCTGGAGGATCGTACGTCGCTGTCTAGAAGAGCCGCGACAAACATCCACCGCTTAGCTGCATACCGTGCCGCACTTCAATTCTTCCATGAAGGCCAGCTAAGACGAATGAGTATACTTCAATCTCGGAGCATTAGCTCAACGAGAGTCGGGTGCAGGTATGCGCACTTCCGAGGGCTTGTGTGATGAGACAACCAAATAATAGCATCCGTTGATTAGTGCATTCTTGATGCAGATGTAGGCATGGATGGAAGCGAGATGCAAGGCAGTATATGAACCATTCTCGACGCGTTCCAGACAATCGATGAACTACTAGCTGGTGTCAGTTCGTCTGGTAGCTTTGTGTGATACGCCCGGCCAATGCGCTGGGTAAGAGAGGATGTCGTAAGCTATAGGCCATTGCCGCAAGAAGTTTCATCGCGTATTTCGGAGTAAGTGGGTGGGTATTTGCACGCCGAGACGGCGCTAAATCCGTGCCGCGCACCTGCGTGTACCTAAGCGGTATTTGAACAACGCCACGCGTCAGCTCCTTGATTTCTTCCTGAAGGGATTGCTCAACTCGACAACAACGACGTCTTGCCTTTCCACAAGCGAGCTACACTATCGTGTTATAAGAAAATTGTATGCCTCGGCGGCAGGAGGCGAGACAGGAGAGAGGAGCGGCACAGCAGACGCGTTGCGCAAGCAATGGTATCTTCAGGGACACTTCTCATATACGGAAGTATTTTGTTCTATTATCAATCTCAACGTGTCGTTCAAGCTTCCTTGCTTAAGAATGTCTAGTTCCGGTGTCTGGAATCCAGGTTTTTATGTTTCTGGGTTCGTCCAGAGCCGGTCAGCGTCTGGCACTCGGCAACTTTGCCGCACATGATCTCAACAATACTGTTATCGTGCAAGAGAGTGTTTTGAGCGAAGGATATCACAACTGAAGTAGGATCCCGGAAACCCTCGCCTAGCCATGGCTGCGTCTAAGCAATCAGCAATCGCGAATCCCCGACTGGAAATTGGGTATGGCCCCTTGATCAACGTGATCCCCTTTGCCGGTAAATACGCAACCTGACAGTGGTACTTACGCCACATACCTGCATAGACTGGAACCGAGATGGCGTCAGTTAACTACTAGGCTTTAAAGCACATTGTTTCGGACGATATTCTCCGTTGTATAATTGCTGCTTCCAATTCGTTGTAAACCAATACCATCACAGCAAACATGTCGGCGAAAACAAATGGTTTCGCTCAAGGGACAGTCCTAAAGGTCGCGTACTCTATGCTTGGCTTGACAAGTTCCGTTGTCCTTACTAGAATCGTTCTCAACATCCTCAAACCAAGAAGACTAACAGCTTCTGACTACTTTGTTTTCATCGCTTTCGTTTTTCACGTTACCAAGTGCACCCTTTACGTTGCACTATCGCCCTACATGCAGAGGGTGTATGCCGTCTCAAATGGGGAAACAGAACCTTATCCAGAATTGTTACATGACAGGATTTTGATGGCCAAGATGGTCTTCACCGCCTTCTGCATGTTCTGGGCGGTATTGTGGTCGATCAAGTTGTCTTTGCTCCTGCTCTATAGAAGACTACTGGTTGGTATCTCTCAACGCTACACCGTTGTGTGGTGGTGTATAGCTGGAATCTGCTTAGTAGTAAGTTACCTACAGCATCACAAACCCAGCTTTCGAAACATTCACGTATGACACAGCTGATATCTGGGACAGACTTTCGCTGGCAACTACTTCTTCTACTTCCAATCATGTGGCACTATACCCGGATTTTGGACAGGAGGATGTGTGAGTCTTTCTAGATACACAGTATGGAGAGGACTGCCTACTAATCTTGCTGCACTACAGACTGGTAAAGGTCCGCACAACACCCAACTCATCAGCCTTTACTACTCCTTCTCAGCAGATACATCGACAAACGTGATGAGTACGTCACGCCACTCTTTCTTTCAACTCAGGTATCATCTTCTCACTGACGACTTGTGTAGTCATGGCACTTCCGATGTGGCTCACATGGAATCTCCAGATGCCACGCAGCAAGAAGGTATCAATATTGTGTCTCTTTGCAACGGGTGTCATCTGCATTCTCTTCGCCTGTCTCCGAGTCACTCAGGTTGCGATCAACGCAGCAAAGCCTGAAGCTATAGGTCAACCACTCGATCCTACCTGGCTTGCTATCTGGGGTATGGTGGAATGTTCTATCGGTATGGCAAATTTCTATCCGGCTATTCATGTCAATGCTCATTTCTATCAGCCGTTATCATTGGCTGCCGCCCTGCGTTCGCCGTCCTCGTCAAAGCTTTGCGACCGAAGAACTCATACGATTCACGTGGCTACCGGAGGCAGACCAATAGCAACTCGGATAAGAAAAGAGGGAGCAGATTGGAACTTAATACGATTGGGTGTAAAAGAGACCTGGATAAAGGTCTTGGCCTAGATACGACTGACTTGCACTGGGCCGATGTGCATAGTAGTCAGGAAGAACTAAGAGCGAAGCATGACGGCATCCTGGTTTCGACCACAGTGATGCACGAACAAGACTCCATAGATGCTTTCGAAAGAGCATAGTAATACCTATGAGTTTGCGCATGTACGTCACTCCCCAACTACTCGATGCCGGGATCACCCCATGAATTCTGCGTACCTATGCGCCTGGTCTGATTGTCGCGGGTCTGAGGCTATGTCGCTTCGTACATCGCATCCTCCATGTACGAAGTACCTAGGTACATGGACGAGGGGTGCACCAACATCTAATCGGAAGCGGGGAGACAAGCCACCCGAGAACGCGTAACACTAATCACCACGTTCCCATCACCACTAGGCTTTGCAGCAGTCTTACGATCGGTGTTCCGAGAGCCCGTCGAGAGCTCTGGTAATGTTCTGATGTGAGTGTTGTTCTGCAGATTCCTATGGTGGAACCCTCAGCCCCAGGTAGTTTCTAAATTTAGTCGGCGGAAAGCACCTCCCATCTCTTGGCAATACCAGAACCCACTGGACACAGTCATCATCTAGGGCATCCAATGATAATGGTGGTAGCAGCGGTGAGATGAGGAATAGTCGGTTTGGGATTTATGCCTAGCAGTCTTGAATGATATAACCGATTGCGTGGTACCATTTTTCCCCCTCTCTCTCCATCTCTGCCGTCCCCACTCATACTTCTCAGCCTTATCCTTTCAGTATCTATCCTTTCATCCCACACTCTCTCGCATAACCGCCAACATTATCCGTTATCGTGTTTTCTGGAAACAAAAGGAGCGACCATTTGGAGTGATTTCTGTGGTTCCACAAGATGACATTCGAGAACGAAAGGGCAGATCTCGAACAGGGACATCAGTTGCAGGACTTAGGTCCCACGTCGGATGTAAGTAGTCCCGATACTCCATTCCTGCAAGAATAGGAATCGTGGTTGCTAATAATCGAGGCTCAGTATCATCCGCTCCAGTACCACCCTAACAGCGAACAAGAAGAGGCCGCTCAACACCTGCTCAATGACTCACTTATCCCTACCAACGACTACTCACGACGTCAGAGCGCGACCCCATCATCAGTGTATAGCCTTACGGAAACCTACAGTGCAATACATCCCCCGACCACCGCAGCGCCGGCTTATGACAATTGCGAACAGAACAGAGCTTACGACGCTGGTAAGAACTGTTCCTGTACGAACCACATGTGAGATTTGAACTGACTTCGTACATTTAAATATAGGTAGCTATGTACAATCCGAAGACGACTGGGTTCAAAGGCAACAGAATCCGCCCACCATGCCTGTTGGTATTGGCGTGAAACGTTCGAAGACACGTAAAGTCAAGTTGATTCAAGGCTCTGTTCTTAGCATCGACTATCCTGTCCCCAGCGCGGTTCAAAATGCCATCGAACCTCGCTATCGTAACGCTGAAGGAGCGTACGAAGAGGAGTTTACACAGATGCGGTATACTGCAGCAACTGTAGATCCAGACGCATTCACGCTGTCCAATGGGTATAACCTACGCCCAAGAATGTACAATCGCCACACGGAGCTACTCATCGCAATCACGTACTACAATGAAGATAAGGGGCTGCTTGCTAGAACACTTCATGGAACTATGAAGAATATCCGGGATATTGCCAACCTGAAGAAGTCAAAATTCTGGGATGTCGGCGGTCCTGCTTGGCAAAAGATTGTCGTTTGTCTAGTCTTCGACGGCATCGACAACGTGGATCAGGAAGTCTTCGACGTTCTCGCAACCGTCGGAATTTATCAGGATGGAGTGCTGAAAAAGGACGTCAACGGTAAACCCACAGTTGCGCACATCTTCGAATACACAAGTCAAATATCCGTCACTCCTGACCAACAGCTCGTTCGACCTGCCAACGATGGGGGCACTGCAAATCTACCGCCTGTACAATTTATCTTTTGTCTTAAGCAAAACAACAGCAAGAAGATCAATTCCCATCGCTGGCTCTTCAATGCCTTTGGCCGTATACTGAATCCAGAGGTTACGATCCTCATCGACGCCGGCACCAAACCAGGACCACGCTCACTTCTTTCGCTGTGGGAAGCCTTCTACAACGACAAGGACCTTGGAGGCGCCTGCGGTGAGATTCATGCCATGTTGGAGGGCGGTAAGGCGTTGCTAAATCCGCTCGTCGCGATCCAGAACTTCGAGTACAAGATTTCCAATATCCTTGACAAGCCTCTGGAGAGCTCCTTTGGCTATGTTAGTGTGCTTCCAGGCGCATTCTCAGCATATCGCTTCCGGGCTATAATGGGTCGCCCACTAGAACAATATTTTCATGGTGATCACACGCTCTCGAAAAAGCTGGGCAAGAAAGGCATTGACGGCATGAATATATTCAAGAAGAACATGTTTTTGGCAGAAGATCGCATCCTATGCTTCGAGTTGGTCGCAAAAGCAGGGTCGAAGTGGTATATCTCACCCACTACCTACGAAAGACAGATATCTAACTTCGCATCTTCACAGGCATCTCTCGTATGTTAAAGCATCCAAAGGCGAAACCGACGTCCCGAACTCAGCAGCTGAGTTTATTGGCCAACGTCGGCGATGGCTCAATGGATCGTTTGCTGCATCCCTCTACGCTATCATGCATTTTGGGCGGCTCTATGGCTCAGGGCATGGGATTATTCGTCTCTTTTTCCTTCACATCCAGCTGGTCTACAACATTGCCCAGACCATCTTCACTTGGTTCTCTCTCGCATCATACTACCTTACCACCGTCATCATCATGAACCTCGTCGGCACACCCGAGCCTTTGCTTGATTATCACGGCTGGCCATTTGGCGACAAGGTAACGCCGATCTTTAACCACATCATAGGATATATCTATGTGGCTTTCCTCATCTTGCAATTCATTCTTGCGCTGGGTAACAGACCGAAAGGATCTCGCCATAGCTACATGGCCTCGTTCATTGTTTTCGGCGTCATCCAAGGCTACATCCTCATCCTGACCATTTATCTGGTCTATCGCGCCTTCAGCTCAAAGCCAATCGGCGAACAAATATCCTTTGATTCAGGCAAGGCATTCTTCGAAAGCTTCTTCGGTGGCAGCACAGGCGTTGCGGGGTTGATCCTCCTCGCACTAATAACCATCTACGGTTTGAACTTCCTCGCGTCCTTTATCTATCTCGACCCTTGGCACATGTTTCATTCGTTTCCACAGTACTTGTTTCTCATGTCGACTTACATCAATGTACTGATGGTGTATGCGTTCAACAATTGGCATGACGTTTCCTGGGGTACAAAAGGTTCCGATAAAGGTGACTCGTTGCCAAGTGCAAACATTATCAAAGGCAAAGGCGACGTCATGGTTGAAGAAGTGGAGCAGGAGCAAGAAGATATCGACAGTCGCTTCGAGAAAGTTGTTCATAGGGCACTTGCACCGATGGCAAAGACGGGTGACGATAAGCCAGCGAAGAAGGATACCGATGATTCCTACCGGTCGTTCCGTACTGGCTTGGTCTACTCGTGGCTGCTGTCGAATCTCGCACTCTGTGTCGTAGTCACGAGTGACGATTTTGCCACTATTGGCGTTGGTGTAAGTACCAGTGAAGAATTCAACCTTGTGCACTCTCACTGATTTATGTCATTAGGAAGCCTCACAAACCCGTACACCGATATACTTCCGCATTCTATTGTACGCCACTGCGATACTTTCTATCATCAGATTCATTGGCTTTTTGTGGTTCATCGGACGGACGAGTATCATCTGCTGCATAGCTAAAAGGTAGTTGTAGACTTGCAAAGTAGCAGCTGAATTGTATGTTTGGTTTCGTTAGTACTTTAAACACTCTTAAGCTACGATCGCAGGGCTCCGCGGTGTAATCGATGACGTCACAGACCTTCATTGGGGCGCGCAAAGCACGGCATTTCATCGAGAAATCGCAATCTTGCAGCGGAATACGCTTTTGGCATGTCTTGAGCCCAAATGGTCATGATTAACCCGAGGGGGAAAGGATCGAAGCAGGGAAAACACGGGATGCGACCAGATGTGGTGGGGTTTGGAGATCATGATCGCTCCGGGTAGCATGGATTCTTCAGATCAACGCGTTCACCCAAATATTGGGAAATCCCAACGCTGTGATGAAGTGACTCCATAGTGACAGAAATTAATACTGCGTTGCTAGTGTTTAGCGCACGTTTTGATCAGCCGCAACGGTGTTCAAGTGCAGAGTTCCAATCTAGCGGCGCGTGCCTCTGATCGCCACTGATGCATGTGGCTTGCCGTCGCTAGTGCGTGCATGACGTAAAGGGCGATTGCGGCCCTACGCGTCTTTCTTGTTGGTATGGAAGCGAACATGTTGCAAGGCTACCGTCCTCTTTACAACACTCGAACTCCTATACCTTTGTACCTACGCCTAACTGACGCTCACCACTGAACGTCGATATGTCGACCGGAGGCGTGGTCTACAAAGACCTACTACCCATCCCGGATACGGATCCTACAGAACATGAGGGGAAGTCTACTACGCTACGCAATGCACCGACAGAGAGCCACGCGCTAGCTCTAGATGCTGCGAAGTCAGCGCCTCCAGAGGAGAAAGGTGCAGCGCAAATAGCCCATGGAGATGAGGTTGTCGACCTAGGATGGAACGAGCCAAAGGAACTTGTCGCGAAGCCACTCGTTGGGGGTTTGGGCAACGAGGATCTGTGGTTGTTGGTCCGCCGATTTAACAAAGTGAGGGCACGTACGAGTTAACGCTACACTTCGATACTGATCTCGTGCAGCAAATGTACCATGTCAAGGAGATTCCAACAGCGCCCCCTGGGGGCTTGGACATGAATATCGCCGATGAGGAGGAATTTTCGCCAGACAAGCTCCGTGCAAACATTGAACGGTTGTACATGACCCTCGTAAGCACCTCAAGAGTCAACTACGAATGCCGTTAATTTAACTGTTTGTAGGGCATTGGTCTAATGGGATTCGGCAAGCACATCGTTCGCATCCGCTCATGGAGGGAGAGTCGCCGCACTGCATGGTTCTGTTCCGCATATTTTGCTGCCTGGTTTCTCGACATGATTATGCCACTGATAGCGGTAACATTAGTCACACTCATTGTATACCCGCCAGCTCGAGACACAATGTTTCCGCCAGCACCTATCGCCCTCGTCAGCTCCAAAGGAGGTGTGCAAAAGCCCAAGTCTGGAACTCTGGGCAGTACAGATAGTGCTACCGGGGCGCCTGAGAACCACAAAGGTGAGGCTGTCGAGCAAGAGGCTTCGAACTTCGTCAACGGTTTCGCGACGATCGCGCTATCGAGTGCGACTGGTAAACACCCCCAGGGAGAGCCTCCCGATGAAGACTCTCCTGACAGCAGTGTGCCGGATCCTACCAGAATCGCTATCAGTGCTGCAGACGCAAAGGATCAAGCTGCCGGCGTCAAATCCGACAAGCATCATGACAAGACCAAGGTTCCGATGGAGACTGCCATGTGGACAAAGATGAGGCCTATCATGCACGGAATCGCAGACGTCACTGATACGTGGGAGCGATTCGCGAAGTAAGCAAGCACTGGCTAGATTTTATATTTACTTACTAATGCCACCACAGCATGCTTGAACCAACCTCTCCGTTTCCAAAAGACAAGTTTCATCTTCGACTCGCCGCAGTGGTGGCACCGCTCGTTCTTGTCTCATTATTTGTAACCTCTTACATGTTCATGAAAGGTGTCACCTTCAGCGTTGGCTTTGGCTTCTTTGGCGATCCTGTCATCCAACGAGGTCTGGCACTCCTGAACAGAAAGTTCCCCAATTGGCAGAAACTACTTGAGCTCCGTAACACGCTGCTCAAGGGCGTGCCAACGAATGCCCAACTGACCGTCACCCTCCTGAGAATCGGCGAAGCAAACAAAGCCCCACTCCCACCACCCCCTCATGTTGCACAGCCGCCACCAGAGAAGCCTGTAGATATCAACGAAGAGGAGCTGCGCGCCACAGGTGCCGATTGGCCACTCAATGCAACACAAGAAGAGCTCGACGAAGCCATGGCACATGATCCTACCACCGCGCACGAGACTGGCGGCGAGGATATTGATAATGCCAAGGACAGTAAGCACGGCAAGAAAGGAACTAAGATCCTCAACTTCTTCCGTGGCACCGTCAAAGGTGGCGTTGAAACCACGATGACAGCCGACAAGGTCAAGGCCGCCGCCGGTTCCACTCATGCCAAAAACAGATTGGGTGCGGTACCACCCAAGGGAGTGGATCTCACATCCGGTCCTGTCGAGTTCAAAGCCCGCCATGATGGCAAGCGAGGCCATGTCTACATTACTACGAAAGCAACAATCCCATGCATCGCCTTTTCCACGGATAAAACTATCGAAAAGATTGGTAGCGCAGATAGAGAGGATCTACATCCGTCATGGAGTCTTCCTGTTGGCGAAATCATGGAAATGAAGAAGGTGGGTGGCTTCGGCTGGAAGGCAAAGTTGGTAGTTGGCTGGGCTATGGGACGTGAGGTTGCTGATGGCTTGATCATTATTGACCGGCAGCTCAACGAATACCGTATAACAGCACTTCCGTTGAGAGATGAGCTGTTCAATCGGTTGGTAGCGATGGGTGGTCAAAAGTGGGAGTGCTGGTAGTGATTCGACACCGTTGCGAAGTTTCCGGGGGTTGATATCCAGGAGACACGACTCTGTTGATGCATTGTCAGTATCAAGGGTTCTGGATGTTGTCGAAACACAAACGGATTTGATTAGGGATGGACACGTACATGTATAATAGTTCTTTATTATGACTACCACTAATTGTGAAATAATCTGGTTGAGGGCGATGGTCACAAAGACAAAGCTGAATTGATCAAGCATGAATATGGGTTTCTAGAAGTGAACTACCCAACTCAAATTTCCTGTAAGGATTACATCCCCATTAACTGTGCTCAAGCACTGCACGTGTTGTCTACCCTGCCGTGACTTTCCTTGTCCTCCATCCCTCATTACTCCACTTCCAATACCCCGAGATCATCCAAGCCTCAACCGATCAAGAAACACACTCTACTCCTCATTCATATCCATCTCATCATCACCATCTTCCTCTGTAGACGCAGCTATAGTGTTTTTGTCGTAGGAACCATAAGTTCGGGCCTCAGCCAAGGCCAACTCATGCTTCATCTGTAATTTACTGCCGTTCGCGTTCAAGCCCTTGGCGCGACACATCTTCTTGAGGTCGTTCTGGCTGTACTCGTCATCCGCGTCCATAAGTGCTTGCACAAAACTAGCCTTGTTCCTCTTCCTCGGAAGATCTAGACCGCGCTCCTCGCAGATCTTCTTCAAATCGGAGACCGAGAGGTAAGAGCGTGGGTCGGGGGTCTCGGAAGGCACCTTCTTGGCGTTGGTGGGAGTAAGGGGAACATTCTTGTTTGCGACGGGCTTCTTGGTCTCTCGGACTTTCTTCTGATTCTTCAGCTGGGCATTGCGCTGAGATTTGGCATTGACGTTCTCTATGGCTCGAGCAGCGCGAATTTGGGCTTGGGCAGCGCGGGTCATCGCGCGATGAGCCTTCTCCGATTCTTTGTTAGCGCGCTTGTTGGCGATATCCTCAGCCTTTTGAGCGTTCCGGAATCTAGTTTCGTTCTTAGCTTTAGCTTCAGCAGCTTCTAGGGCGTCCTGCTTGGCCTTCTCTTCGTTGCGGGTCTTCTCGCGGGTCATACGGAAGTTTTCCATTTCTGCACGACGGGCGTCAGGATCATCATCTACCTCTGTGGGAATACGAGCAGTGCCTTCAATGATGGCATTGTAGCGCTCACGACAGGCGAGAGCAGAGAAGAGGGCGTCTTTGTTAAGCCGGCGCATGTACTCGGACACTTTGCGGAAGCGCCAGGCACGGATACGTTCAATCTCGTAGTTGATCTCGATGTCTGCAAGAGCATGAGCTTGAAGTAGGAGTTCGTCCTAGGCATCTGCATTAACGAAGTCACAAGGTGAAAGCCGATTCAGGAAGAACTTACATCGGCGTATTCCCATTCCTTGTAGCCTTCCTTCAGAAGGAAGTCAACATTGTCAGCCTGTGCAAGGCGAATGCGCATGATGCGCGTAGAGATGGATTTCTGATCGTAGCGAACACGGCCATCTTTAGCAAGCTTGTCGGCAATCTGGCGGTCACTGAAGCCCCTCTCACGCATCTGCATCATTAGTTCGTCATCAGAATCTAGTTCATGAGAGACACGCTTGTGGTACGCTGGAAGACTCTCTCCCTTACGACGGTTATGACGGCCGAAGGTACCAGGAACGCGGGAAGGCTGTTGGTATGAGAAATCGTTATCTTCGTCTAGAATGAAGGCCTCTGCATTGTCGGTCTGAGCGCCGATGACAGAGCGTTGGAGGGACGTGGTAGTCTTGGAGGAACCATCAAGCCGGGCGCGCTTGCGCTTCTGACCGGCGATGTCGTCGTCATATTCTGGATCGTAGTCATCTGCCTCATCCTCATCTTGGGAGATACCAAGATCGTCGAAGCCGTCGAGCTTGAAGTCACCGTCGTCGGACTGTCTGAGATCAGCTATAATTTGATGGTCAAGTTCTTTGCTTACATCGTCAGCTGCTTGGGCAGTGTCGTCAACGAGGTCATCATCGTCGCTCAAGTCTTCCTCAAAATTGCTGTGGCCAAGCGGCTTGTCGCCTATAACATTGCGTCAGTAAGAGGTGTCGACAAGGCAAACACCAAAGTACTTACCGTCGAAGATCAGAGCCTCGTCAGTCATGTTGTTGGCTGTAGCGCGAGGTACGGCCGTGAT